TTTACTTACTTGCTTACTTGCTTGCTTACTTGCTTGCTTACTTGCTTGCTTATTTACTTACTTGCTTACTTGCTTGCTTACTTGCTTGCTTACTTGCTTGCTTATTTACTTGCTTGCTTACTTGCTTGCTTACTTGCTTGCTTACTTGCTTGCTTATTTACTTACTTGCTTACTTGCTTGCTTACTTGCTTGCTTACTTGCTTGCTTATTTACTTGCTTGCTTACTTGCTTGCTTACTTGCTTGCTTGCTTATTTACTTACTTGCTTGCTTACTACATCACCATCGCCACTATTTTTACCACCATCATCACCACCACCATCATTATCACCACTTCCATTACCACCGCCTATTCCATTATTACCATTGTCACACAGCATAGGTTTAAGCGATCTTAGTGTGTACATGTGTAAAAAATGTTTGATATAATATTTAATTAAACAATTTTTATACAAAGTTGTACTGTACCGTTCCATCATTGAGAAGACGAATTTTGTTAATGACATAAACAACTTTCGGATCACCATAACTCATTCCATAGATTAATTGTGACACCTACAGAAAATAGGTAATTAAATCTTTGAATTAAATAATAAGTAATTAGTTGATTAAATAATTAATTAATTAATTAATTAATTATTAATTAATTAATTAATTATTAATTAATTAATTAATTAATTAATTAGAAAAAACGAAGTAAAAACATTCTTACAATATTTCCAATAGACAGCAACATCTCAGGTAAATCAATCAATCCATAAAGTTCTATAGCATGCCTGTCAGCGACGTAAATGACCTCCAAAAATTTGTTCTTGCCGCCATCGTTGCTCTCAGACAGCTCTTGCTCCAAGGATCGCTTCTCTATGAAAGTTTCGTTCAAGTCTAAATCAAAGAATTACACAGTTAAATATACATGGTAATAGTGAGTCAATACAACCAACGTGATTGAGATTATGCGAGATTATGTATCGATCGACTGTTTGGTGGGTGGAAGAAGCACAACACGTCCCGCTTCCAAGAAGATGTTGTTGGTTGTTGTTGTTGTTGGTTGTTGTTGGTTGTTGTCGGTTGTTGTTGTTGTCGTCGTCGTCGTCGTCGTCGTCGTTGTTGTTGCTGCTGTTGTTGTTGCTGTTGTTGTTGCTGTTGTTGCTGTTGTTTCTGTTGTTCTGTTTCTTCATCAGTGACTTAACAAAACCTCACCATTCCAATCATCATCAAACTGAAGTGGTTTATCAATGATGGATCTTTTAATAACCAAGTGCGGGAAATCGTCTTTCTCGTGATTCTTCGACAAATGATCAGGGAGAGGATGAATCTCAAACAAATGATCATCGGAAATTGCAACTGCGCCTCTCTGCAAAATAGAAGGATTTAAAAGACGGGAAAGGAAATTGGAATTCCACAAGCAATTTAATATAACGAGCCCATATATCATTACGGAAGGATAACAACCAGAAAGATCTAGACGAAACGCATACAGACGTAAGAGTTAAGACTGTAGGAAAAAAAACTGGGAAACGATTGTTCGGACAAGGGAAAGAAAATTACTAAAATAAAATCTCGCAAATAAGAAATGTTTGCGTCCAACTCCCAAACTAGAAACCAAACGGTTCACTGCCCATTTAGGATATGGCCTGGAGGCTTGGTCAAATTCTTTGTTTTATCTTTCTAAACTCGGCTCATGTTAGCTATCTAACTGAGTGTTACTTACCAATCTACCTCTACCACTCAGAGCGACTTTGGAACCTGGGTACGAGATCACGTATCCATGATAAAAATTTCCATGAGTTAGACCTGACTTGGTTGTTGATCCATTACTATGTTTTGTTTCAATATGAAAACAAGGTGCTATTAAGTGTCTGTTTAGTGTTAAATTAAGGTGTAAGGTCAGGCCAAGTATAGAAATGTTATAAAATGCTTGTTTTTTGTTTGTTATATCTCTTCTCGTTCGTCGTTGGGAGATTTCTTCACCTCGCTCATTCACAGGAGTCAAATAAGACACGTCGTAATCCAAAACTACAATGTAAATAAAACGTGCATGACAACTTTTATATATATATATATATATATATATATATATATATATATATATATATATATATATATATATATATATATATATATATATATATATATATATATATATATATATATATATATATTCAGGGGAATCTTTGGAAACATACTTGTATCACAGAATGCTTGTATGATAGATATAAATATATAACCACCATGTAACATAAATACAATCAAGTACATGCACTTTCTGCTACATACGAGTTGCACAAAATGCACAATGGGATTTCTACCCGGCCACAGAACGGCTGATCACATCCTTACTTTAAAAACTTTAACTGATAAATATGTTAACCAGAAAACGAATGGACGACTATATACATGTTTTGTCGATTTCAAAAAAGCTTTCGACTTGGTTTGGCATGACGGATTATACTTAAAATTACTTAAGAATAAAATCAATGGAAATTTCTACAAATTAATGAAAAACCTATATTCTAATTCAAAATGTGCTGTTAAACAATCAAATCACAGAACATCGCTTTTTCCATATAACAAGGGGGTACGTCAAGGATGTACATTGAGCCCCTTGCTGTTCAATATATTTCTAAATGACCTACCCCCCGTATTTAGCAACATACCTTGGGATCCGGTAATTTTACCCAATGAAACAAAACTAAACTGTCTACTATATGCCGACGATCTTGTCATCTTATCAAGATCTAAGGTTGGTCTTCAAAACTGTTTAAATCAATTAAATGACTGGTGTAAAAAGTGGATGATGCATGTCAACATGAAAAAAACCAAAGTCATGATCTTCCAAAAACCATCAAATAAACAACCCACACCAAATTTTCAAATTGAGAACAAAGTTCTCCAAGTGACTCAAGAATACAACTACCTAGGACTTAGCCTCTCACATAACGGAAAGTTTACTTTAGCACTTAAACAACTTGTTGACAAAGCTCATCGTGCTATGAACTCCACAAGGAAAAAACTTGATATTTGCAAGCTACCCCCAAATCTAGCAGTCAAAATATTTGATATTCAAAGAGATCCCCAACTGAAAAAAGACACTCGAAATTTTGTAAAATTTACCTTGGTGTAAATCGCAAAGCAACTAACATAGCAAGCAGAGGTGAAATGGGAAAATTCCCACTACTGATTGCTATTCTCAAAAGACTTATGAAATACATAGTACACATCAACACCCTACCCGATTATACCATTGTAAAGCAAGCGTTTCTTCTTTCTAAGGACTTGTTTCTAGACAACAAACCATGTTTCTACTCCAATGTAATGCACTTAATTAAAAATTATGCAAGTTCCACAGACGAACTCAATGACTTAGAACTCACAACAAACTCACATCTACGTTAATACGTAGATAACGCCAAAGTCGAATACACCAACTTTTGGAAACATAAATTAAACAACAGTTCCAAACTAGATTTCTACAAAAAATTCAAAACCGACTACAAACTAGAAGAATACCTTACAAACATAAAAAAAACAACCACAAAGAAGAGCACTTAGCCAATTCCGCATAAGTTGCCATAAACTTAATGTTGAATGTGGCCGTTACCACAATGTGCCTCGTAAGCAACGGCTGTGCGAGTTTTGTGACATGGGTGAAGTTGAAGACGAATGTCATTTTGCCCTATTTTGCAAATATTACACAAATGATAGAAAAATTTTAAATGAAAAACTGCGATTAGAATTGAGGACAAAACTAGACTGTCATGATGATCTTCAATCCATCATGTCATCTAGTGACCCAAAACTGTTAAATGTATTTTCGAAATACATCCTGACCTGTTTCACCAAACGAAATGAATGCCTTGAAACCGGAAATAACATAACAAGACCTAATGACTAATGGTCCTGCCTTACATAAATACATATATAGGCTATATGTCTTGCTATACTAGCCTAAATTGAAACTACTTTAAACTTGTAAATATTAATTGAAACTACTAATTTGTAAATAGCTAGTACCGTCACTTGGTAGATTAGTTAATTGTTAATATTAGTTACTCTGAATGCTTTAGCAATACCTGTAAATAGGCCATGCGAATAAAGCTCTTTTAAACATTAAAAAAAAACATATCCTCTGTATTTCTGTGCATATGAACAACACACGCTTTCTACACGATTAAGAAAAATTGCCATAAAAACCTATATTCTAATTCAAAATGTGCTGTTAAACAATCAAATCACAGAACATCGCTTTTTCCATATAACAAGGGGGTACGTCAAGGATGTACATTGAGCCCCATATGGTTCGTATAACACAATTTACAATGCAGTTCAGCGTAGCTTTAGATGTGCAATATTACCTTTATTGCCAGGTACTTCACCAAAGTAAACTTGAAATTCCTTTTCAGTCATGTTGATGAAATCGGGAATCTGTTGCAAAATAATACACCATAAAATATTGTTTTATAATTCTATCTATAAGAATTATAGACGATCATCTAGATGTATTGTAAACAGCCCTAGTTTTCACTCTAGACTAAGGTTTTCACTATATATCCGCTAAACGATGTCGGATTATAATGTTTATTATAACTTTACCACATAAAAGAGTGGCAGGGTCACCACAACGTTAGTGTAAAAACCAATTACTGTGGACCCTATTTTACAAATACTATATAAATATATAATTACATTAACATAACTTAATTTACGAGAACAAATACAACTATATCAGGAACAACAAGAGAGTGGAGTAGCAAGACTACCAGCAGCGTTACATTTGAAGCAGATTGATTTCCAAGTCTGGGGATTTTCAGATTCATAGTTTATATTGATAGCAGTAGTGTAATATCTGTAAAGTAAATATTTAATTGTGGACAAGGAAAGAGACTGTTGTTCAAGGTCATTAGGAACAATGTTCCATATTCTCGTTGTTCTGTTGATGAAGGAGGTCTGGTAGGTTACAGTCTTGCATTTCTTAGTACGGGACAAGATAAGGTCTGGATTGCTTGATGTAATTTGCTTCTGCGCATGACTGGGTACGTTTAGTTCATTATATTATTGACACCATCAGTGATAGTAATTTACATCATACATTCTTCATACAGTATTTAACAAATACCATGCATGGGTTAGTTAACTTTAAAGCGAATTACCAACCAATGCAAAGGTGCAATTTTCACATTTTAAAATTAACATTAGTCAGTTTTACCTTCATACCACCAAGACGTCCTATTGCCTCTACAAATTCAAATAAAAGTGGATTACAGAAGTTTACGATGATAGAAGGAATTAACCTTCAACCACACAAGAGTTAATAGGGGCCTCACCCATGAGAAAAAATAAAACAGGAGCTTCAGACGTCGTTGTCGCTATATAAGTCTATAGAGAGGTTCAGATTTGACTTCCACTGCCACAACAGTAACCATTACGGGCCCATTAACCAATCAGAGGTGTGTGATATATCCCGGTCCGATTAACCAATCAGATACGTACTGAGCCAGTGAAGGAAGCTAGTGGAAGTCCTCTTAACCTCTCCATTTTTATAAACCATAGATTTTGAGATCTTGTGCGGCAAAACCCGCATAAAAGAACCAGAGAGTTAAAAACCATGCATCAGTCTGACATTTAGGAAATAAAGCAGCAAAAAACAGGATCACTTCAGGCTGGTTCTTAAAAAAACTTTAGAATGTATGTTCTAAGGGCAGGTACAGGCAGGTACATACTTGATTTATTATTATTATTATTATTATTATTATTATCATTATTATATAAATAGATAACAAGCACGAACAAGAATATTCATATATATATATATATATATATATATATATATATATATATATATATATATATATATATATATATATATATGTACTATTTATAAACCGAGTGAGAGGGCTTTATCGGTGCATATAGACGCGAGCCGAAGGCGAGCGGCTATAGGCACCGATAAAGCCCAATCACGAGGTTTATAAATGATTTCTAAAATTCACCTTTTGTTTTGGGTCCCAATGAAATAATAAAAAATGTTTAGTACAATAGTTCTATTGTTTTACGAATCTTCCCTTCATTGATCAGCAAGCAAATTAATGACTGGATTAATTATCAAGTAATACAAGTCGTTAAACGGAGTTTTCAAATGGAAATTTGAACATTTGACTTGTGTCGTTAATGAGTCGGTTTCAATTAAAGCGCCGGCTCGAAGTGCTGAAGAGGAGCAAACGTTGCTCGAAAGAGCGATGCCGCCGAGTACAAGATACGAGACAAAGTGGGCTTTGAAGATTTTTTATTCCTGGAGAGCTGCTAGAAAGGTTAAAGAAGTGAAGATTGACGATGCTGGTCATGAAACTGATGATATTGGCCCAATCCAGACATTAACTACATCGCTGGCGGAGATGAATGAAGCGTCTTTAGCATTTTGGTTAAGCAAGTTTGTTGGCTTTAAAGAGTTTAAAGTGGTGTGCATCTAATCAAAATGAAAGGGTTGTTAATCCCGTGTTAAACAATTGTAACATTACCTCTAACTTTGGAAAATAAAGTATTTATTGATTTCTCGAATATTTGAGTTTTTATTAGGAACAGATTAATAAACATTTTGTTAAAGAATTTTCATAAAGGTACATGTACCTTTGTCATAAAGGTACGTGTAGTCTATATATGAATTTTAAATCAGCACACACCGATCTATATCACGGTATATAAGGGTCATCATGTGACGAGATTTTAAGAAATTCATTGGCTAATTAGCTCATGAATTATTCATGAATTTTAGAAATATATATATAAATACGAAGGATGTCTTAATTGAAAGCCTTTATAGGAATGAAAATGAACAGAGACTACAAAACCACCTAATTATCTCACAAGGTTCTTTCTTCTCAAGTATCATAAAAAATTCACGTCATCATTCAATTCCTTATGGTCATCCGTTCAATCCAGACTTCCGAAAAATATATTTAATTTCACTGTCCGTTATATATCAATTCCCTCCCTACTCGGAAAAACCTGGTCAAATGGGGTCTTTCATCGTCTGCTGATTGTTCCTTTTGCTCCTCTCCTGAGTCACTCCTGCATGTCATCTCTGGTTGTAAAGCATATCTAGATGAAGGGCGACTTACGTGGCGGCTTAATTCAGTCCTGAACTTCATTGCATCCAGCCTTATGAGTGTCGAGCGATCCAAACTCTACGTAGATTTGCCTGGCTTTATTACTCCGTCAGTTATCACTGGTGATCAGTTACGTCCAGACCTTCTCTTGGCAATTGAAAATAAAGTTTTATATGTTTTGGAACTGACTGTTGGCTTTGAAACAAATCTTAACTCTAACTCAGATCGAAAACATAAAAAATACTTGCCGCTTATTTCAGATCAAGAAAGTAACTATGATAAGGTAAAATTTGTTAATGTATCCATAAGCTCGCTAGGTGTTTTTGGTCAATCGACGAACACCTTAACTGATATGCTCAAGGAACTGAAGTTCGATGAACAACAAATTAAATACATTAAAAAGAAAATCATTGCTATACTTGTATTCGCACACAGGGGCGTAGGAAGCACCTGGAGTTTGGGGGGGGCACCGGCTTGTAGGGGCACATTACTATCGGAAAGGGCACCTAAAAAATTTTCCCCGGAAATGTTGTCGGAGAGAAATTTCTCCTGAGGAAAATTTTCCGTCGTATCATACCGAAATTTAAGTTTGTGACCTAATTTTTAAAAAAAATTTGTAAATTTCCACACAAAAACGGCACCTATTGTTTTAATTTAGTATTTACAGCGACATTAGCTTCTACAAAAGGGGCACTTTTCCTCACAAAAAAGCGCACTTTTCAACACAAAAAGGGCACTTTTTATCACAAAAAAAGGGCACTTTTAGTCCTTTAAAAAAATTTGGGGGGGCACGTGCCCCCCGTGCCCCCCCCGCTTCCTACGCCCCTGTTCGCGCATCATATTATGTATTCTATCAACGAAACAAAGACTGGACTAGCCCAGAGCTTTTAAAATTTTGAACGATATTAAATAATTTATTTTTGTAAATTTATATAATCCAAATATTTTTTTAAAATTAAAATTTATTTAATCCAAATATTTTTTTAAGTCATCGATAAACTACCTTTATGAGCGAGGTTTATCAATGTAAATATAGTTTTATGGTATATTATGAAATCCCATTGGGGCTTTTCAGTGACCTATTACATCAAGTATTACCATTACTTATGTTATTTACTTATAGCCTGTATAGACTATTTATCGTTACAACAATTGATATATTACTTTCCTTACTGTGTTTATCCTAACCCATCCTGCCAACTTGCCCTGTGGCTGTGGGAGGAAACCGGAGCACCCGGAGAAAACCCACGACTTTCGGTAGAGTGTTGACATGCAGACTCATTTCACATGAGTTCGTAGCGAGAATCGAACCCACGTTCTCAGAGGTGAAAGGCGCTTACTCTAAAGCCTGCGCCACCGAAGTCCCTAAAATTTAATATCATTACAAATGCAAAGACATAATCTGTGTTTGATACTCAATGAGGATACACTTTATCGAATTCGGAGGCCTTTAATTAGCGATTATTAGTGTAATATTGCCAATATAGCTCGCTAATTAGGGAAACATCAAACAAATAATTTAAAACACTAAACCATGCAGGAACCAGTTAAGAACTAACACAGCCTGATATCTCAACAAAAACTTATTAGATAAGAACCACTCCAGCCTGGCATAAAAATAGTTGTTCTTTTATGCGGTTTTTACTGTATAGAACGTCTGCACTTCAAGCCACAACAAGTAGTACCCAGTATTGACTGACTCAGTACTAAACTAGAATAAGTGGATGGAGGGGCAAAGGCCACTCCTGCCCTTTTCTAACGGGGGCAAGGGCAACAAAAGTACCCTTTTAATACAAAACAAAAATTTACACTAAATATGATACAAGGCATAGATAGTTTAATTAATTAATTAATTAAAAACATTACAACCCACGGGTTGAATTACGCTTCTAACTTTACAATAAAATATTTACTTTATCTAAAATACATTGTAGAATTATGTTGTATAAAACTACTTTTAAATCTATTCGTCCTACTAATAGAAACGTTAAAAATGTTCTTTTTCCTCATATTATAATTTGAAAAGTTCTTACTTGGTAGTAATCGGTATAAAGCTTATGACTTTCGTCATTTGCAATGTCATTAAATAGTTTTTGTCTTCTATTAAATAATGAGTCAACTCCCGCTTCTACCAAAGCTTCTGCATAAGGCAACGTTGGGAAGATGATATGAAGGGCTCGCTTCTGTAATTTCTCCAGATCTTCGCAAAGATCTTCTCCAGATCTTCGCACTTTTAAAGTCATGACTTTGCTTCTAGAATCGTTGCGGATTTGGTTGAAGATTGAACGCTTTTTCACAGGTAAAAAATACCCGTCGTGTCTTTGCTACAGCTGCAAGATTTCTTCACAACGCGGTCAAGACTGCTTGCTTGAATTTCACAAGATGTGTCGAAGAGGGTAAGGAGTCGTGGAAAACGGGACAAGCATGTTCCATCACAGGACGCACACAGGTCAGGTAAACTGTTAGTAAATCCTTTGTACAGATTTTTGTTCTTTTTAGTTGACAAAGAAAGAAGAGTCTTGTTGAAACTTTCTTCACAATCTCTGAGATGTGGGTATTCCATTTAAGATCGTTCGTAATTCGCATGCTCAATATTTTTGAAGAAGGGACAATTTCGATCGGCTTATTATTAACATACACGGGTGTAAACGTACGCCCAGGTCTTGCAAAGGTAATTTGAAGCTCGTTGCATTTCTCTTCGTTTAACTGAAATTTATTTGCAGTTGATTTCCTTGTGAACTCGTCTACCTGCGATTGGATGCTACTGGCTTCATGTTTAAGGATAGTCTCGGAGATTGTAGTATCGTCCACATACTTCCATAAATCTATATCCGCTACTTCTAGATCATTTATCATTATAGCAAAAAGCCAAGGACCCAATTTAGTCCCTTGGGGCACGCCTGCCGGAACCAAACCCCATTCAGAATAACAATCTTGGCTTAACTTGACGCGCTGTTTACGGTCTTTGAGAAAATTAACGATCCACCCAATGATTCGCTTTGGTATTTCGAAGGTAGCAAGCTTGTCTACGAGAATACCATGATCAATTAAGTCAAAGGCTTTTTTGAAATCAAAAAGAACGACCCGCACCATAGAACCGCTTCCGTCCGTTTGTTTTTTCCACTTATGTATCATGCTTATTAGTGCATGAGTCGTTGATGATTTAGGAATCGTTCCAAATTGATTTACGTCAATCTTTCTAAGGACAGCAGGTTTAACAAAATTTTCGACAACGAAATCCTCCGCCACTTTTGATACAACAGATGTCACTGAAATGGGGCGTAGGTGCTCAATCACGTCTTTTACAGGTTTCTGCTTTGGAAGAGGGACAATATCCGCTTCTTTCCAAGACTGTAGAAGATAGCTATCTCTATACGAAAGATTCAAAATCTCTTTTACAGGATCGGCCAGTAGATCACCATTTTCCTTCAGAACCCAGCTGGGTATCCCATCTGGACTATTGGCCTTGGCTGGATTCACTTTTGACAATTTCATAAAAACCTCCTGCTCCGTAACCGTAAAAGCAGGTTCATCGCTGCCGAAATCAGTACCAGCGAAAAAGTCACTCGCTAAAGGGGAGAAGTCATTCATAGGAGAAAGAAAAATTCCATTGATAATATTGGCAAAATGTTTGGTACTAGTAGCCGTCTCATTTAGATTTTCTAGCGACTTATACACCTCATTTTTGGAGTTGAAAGCTGAGTTCATTCCACTCAATTTCTTGACTTCTCTCCACCAGTCGGATGATTTGCAACTTATGTTTGACCTTCGCTTCGTAATATTTAGAACGACATTTTTTCCACTCCCGATTCACGCAATTACGGAGCCGTTTGAATTCTTGAAAACTTCCACTATTCAAAGCTTTTTGTCGTTTTCCTATAAGGTCTTTCAAAGAGGAAGTGATCCACACTGGCTCATTTGATATAACAGCTATACCTCGAAATCCTTTAAGGATTTAGCTATACCTCGAAATCCTTTGTCTCGCGAGATGCGATTAATGACTAATTTACCTCATTGCTAAAACATGAGGGACGATTAGAAACTAATCATCCCACGGGACGATTATCGGGGGTCCCTCATCTTTATGCAACCTCTTATATTAATGTTCAAAAAGACATGAAAAATCAACGGCAACCTCATTAACGGACATCCCAATAGTCATTAGTATCAAAAAGCAAACGCACCTTTTCATTTCAACTTATTCAATCGAATTTATTATCTCGGTATAGCTATGATATTACAAAGTGCTATATAGCATGGCATTACGGTCGATTAGTGATGAAATGTCCCTCTAGCCTCGAGAGGTTTTCGGGTACATTTAATCGCTCACTAATCGATCTGAATGCCATGCTATTAGTATTACTTATAAGAATACTTGGTCAACTATGACGCAATTCCTTAACGATTTCCTTCCAGAAAATACCAGAAATGCGATCATCGAGCTTCAAAACAAAACAATTTTCTGAAGGAGCAACCCCAGACCCCCCCCCCCCACCATATTTTCTTTACGAACATAGAGATGGTATATATAATTGCAATGACAATGATTGGAGGTATATTTTAGCATTGAAGTTCTAATTCAGACAAATCCCTTTGAAATGTACACCCCCATATATATAAATATAAATTAAGTGCCTCTCTTCAAAAATCTGCCCCGTTTTGCCCTCTTGTTGTTCTGGCGTCCCTGAAACTTGACCAATATTACAGTAACGTGGTTTCCTTAAGTTAAGAATGGGTAACACTACAAACAGTATACCTTGCTAAATTGGATTCCTATAGTCTACCTGGTTAATATAGTCTTACATGTATCATTTTTATTGTATTGTATTGTTGCATGTAAAGGGTAGGATGGCAATTGGGACACCAGCCCTGTATCCAACACCTGCCAGTTAGAGTCTTTTGTAATTTGTAATATTTGTGTGTATGCATGGTATGTACGTTATTGGCAAATTTAATAAATTCAAATTCAAAATAAAATGGCGTCAGACTTTGACCGAAAGCCTACTCAAACAAAAAAGGTCACAACATTGCCGGCCCAAAGACAAAGAAACGTCGCTAGTATATAAAACAGTTATCGTAGTTCCTTTCCTATCAAAAAAAGAAGTCAACTACAATATTGTTGCCTCCAACTTCATATTACCTGCGTGAAATTGAAGGATCAGCAGACATACAATTAAACCAATCATTCTGACATACAAAGTAACCAAGAACACCCTACACAACGAAAAAATAAAATAAGTACCTTTTAAATACTTCTTTTTGTACATTTTAAAACAATTTCAAATATGCGTAAAACCATCAATTTTTTGAAGGAAAAACTATGCAAATTTTGAGTCCATATTTTTTGTCTGTGAACTGACGAACAATTAACGTCAACGTATTGCGATAGAATGAAAAAAAAATTCAATATTTTACTTACCGCCTGAATAATCCAACGTTAATGGACCGTTTTTCTGCTGCAATGAATCAACCTAGTGTTTCTTTTAAAACTTTGTCCTAAATCGGGCTTTCCAAACTGCTGACGTAAATTATTTTAACGGTTTCCTAAGACGAGGCTGATAACTATTCACGAAAATGAAATTTTGGGACATGTTTGGGCTGGTTTTGAAAAATTATCGCAGTTGAATTCGGTAAAGCTAATCAATTATTTCATTATCACCACTTATAGTGGTAATTAATTTCAGTTCATCCGTTTAACACGTATTTATACAATTCTCTATTTATTTAGTGCCATACATATGCCAATATTTTCAAATTCAGTGAAAAATAAATGAAAGATAATATTGGGCTAATCTAAACTCTTTTTGTACTGTACACATTTGGTTGTACTAGAAAGAACGTGTGAAAAATATTCACGTCAAAGTGGTTGTCACCCAGTTTAATTTGAAGGAAACTGACCTGCCCATGCATGTTGACCACAATTGCAAAGTTTATTATGTGATAAGTTGATGGATAATCTAAATGAAATCGTTAATTCTAACGTCTCACATCGTGTGAACAACTTTGATTGTTACTCCATCACACATTACGATACGATTAAGATTCTTAATGCATTTAGCCATGGGCATTGTGTACATGTTTTCACCACTTTGTTGGGGCCTACAACTTGGAGTTGCTTTTTTGCTTACGTATCTTAGTATATATTAACAATAATTTATTGCTTTATCACCTAGACTCGAAATACAAAATAGGGTCAAAATAAATATAATATCTGGGGTAAGATTCTTAGTTAATTAACTATATAGCGAATATATGTGCGAATTCTGCAAATATGGCAGCCTATGAGTTGATATTCGACGTCGTTTTCAACAGGAAAACGTTAACCTAATTTCACCAAACGACACAGTTGTGGGTGGTTTTTGTTGTCTATTATTTAGAAATATAGTACATTGTCATTGTACTTTATACTTTCCACGCACCTGTAATTTATACTGTACTTTATACTGTCAAATGCACCCTGTCACTGCATGGGGGTGTTTAAATAATAGACAATAAAAGAAAACATTATATTTCTGTGACTTTATTAAGTATACTTGTACAGCTTTTTGAAAGATACACGATGAGTGATTCACGTTCAAAACCCTTTTCAAGCATTTAACAACTCTTTTTCATACAACCCTTCGTCACTGACTAAGCCTAAAGAAAGAAAAATAATTGTTAGTTTGTCTGTCCATCCAGCTTTGTTTCACAATTATTTTCTTAAATCAAGAAAAAAATAGAATAAGTTTTTAAGTAAACCTAAATCCAGGAGAACAAGCAAACCAGTATGAATGAAGGACACGGGTAAGCGTGTTTTATTAGGTTTTAAACCCTGGCTTGTTCTCAGTTGCTCAGCCCGGAAATTCTTTATCGCATTCCCATCATGGGGTTTTTCCTCTTGTACTGTCGGATCCCATAGATCATTGCGGGAATTCTTTAATTGAACGTAGTCAGAAATCGAGATTTGAACTGATATATCACGAAAGATCTCACATGATGCAAATCCTGTTTTCTGATTGAAGAACGTAATTGTGGGGTACGATATTATACGGTATTTTAGATATATCAAGGGGAATATAACGGGTGCCAAAAGTGTTTAACGAGCACGCTGCCTTTACCACTGAGTTAAACTAGCTAGAGTAGGTCGATGGACATAGTGGATTTAGATTCGGTTACTTCGGTAACCTCGCTGCACTTGAAAAACTCATTTAAGTATAGTTTGGTAAATTATATCTGCTGCTTCGAGTGTTTTCACCCCGGGTCCTCTGATTTTCCTTCCTTTTTATTTGTCGAGCGCATGTGTCTTAATATAAGTCTCTGCTAGCTCGATACTAAATAACTCATTCAGCGAACACCTTTTCTGTCATGCTGCAGTATATAAGTATAGTTACTTCAGTATTTCATGTCTCCTTTGCAGCTGCTCGAAAGAAGAGAGGATGAAAAAGACACTTTACAGCAGCATACCTGTACCAGATCCGACACCATTTGAATCAATCACTGAAACATGGACTGCTTTCTTCACTACAGCATACTTGCTCTCCAGAACACATTCAAAACTTGCCGAGGCCTGCAGATCACGCACGGACAATCTGAGACCTGTCTGCATCCCGTTTGCGTCTCTAAGTTTCTTCTGGTAAATTCTGCTACCCAAAGTTTGACCTAAAATAGACGGTACAGCATAAGAAAACATAAAAAATTTCGAGTTAAGTTTCTTTGTTTGGATGTTAGTACTATAGTCTATTAACTACAGAAAGGACCGCGTTTTCGTTCTCTTCCCCCACATTCGTTGTTGGTATTATTCTCTCCATATTTGGACGACGTCGTTTTGGGGGAAGGGTAAATACGGTAAATACGGTAAATAAGGTAAAACACGCAGATAAAGTACAATTAAAAGGCAGTCCGTGTAAAAACCGACCACTCGAATTTCTTAAGATTACAGATTTCCTTCAAACTTTCTGTGTGGAAGAAGTCATTCATAAAATGAACAAAAAACGTTGACTTTGAAATTGTAGTCAGTTTTAAAAATTTTTTCGCAATTATTTTCGGACGCGTTCGAAAACAAGTTAAAACGTTAATTACGCAAGTGATATTTGACCTTTTTTATATCTCACAGTTCATCTCGCGCTTTTATTCTAACTTCTTGAAACTTACATATTTTATTATTTCCTGTCTAGGCATAAACCTAAACTAAAAATTATCCTGATCACTTGAAGCAAACAAAATATTGTGTATTTTTAAAAACGTATTTCAGACAGCGGATTAAATATTCGTGTTAGTATGCTGGCGGTGAATTATTTTTTCTCAAAAGTGCAATGGTATCAGCCATCAGGTATCCAATCTATTGCAGCTACTGAGTATTATGACACATCTACTAGAATAAATAATAAAATCTTTGGGCAGTGTGTTTTTCGCCTGACAAGCGCGTCATGAATATAGTCAATTTTCGCTAATTCGACTAATTATAAGCTATAATTTTTATTATAAGCTATAAATTGTTAAATTTTTCACGTTAAAAACATACAAAACTGTTTACTGTTTCAAATATGGCTGTTTTTTTTATAGAGAGTAAGTTATAAATATGCCAGCAATTATATATGCTTGAAATTTTACGTTTATGAGTATCATTAAATACTACATGCATGGTATATATAAACAAAAATGTATAAGAAAAGTGCGGGAAAGGATATATGTGTGCCAATTTATAGGATGCCTTGAAGGAGCACTTTTTTCTCATCATAGACATAGTGCAGATTTATTTTCCCACTATAAAATGAAACAAATATTTTATACATGTTTAATACTTTCATGTTTTTTAAGAACTGCAATTACATGCTGATCTCGGTTAAGGTCCTGTCACACTATTGCGTATGAGAGAAACGTATGAGTAGCGTAAACCATGCATGCATGTGCACGCATACGTCCCCATACTCGAAAAAGTTTTAACCATGCTTACCTTGCATGGTTCCCCGATTTTTAAATAAACACCTTTATACGATTTAGGCACAGTGATTTAGGACAGCAACGGCTACAAATACAATAAATAATTAAAAAGAATTCATAATTGCAATATATGAATAATTTGTCTAAATCACAACGCCAAATCACAGATTTTCACGTCTTGATACAACGGCTGCATTTCAAGGCGCAACAAGTGCAACTTCAAACTGGTTTCAGCAAAACTCTTCCCAAACATAAAACCAATTAAATTCTTACGATTTTATTAAATTCATACGATTGCTAATATACCACGAATTGTCTTTAGGCCACTATTTGCTGTATATTAGTTTCTCATCCCCGCCCGCATGCTTTTTAGGAAAATGGCCTTGTTCGCCATTATTATTGCCATTTTTGACCATTATTATAAATTTTGTGATGTCTTCAAAGTGAAATTTGAAAGAAAGACAATTAGAAACGTTCCCAAACCAAATGTTATAGTTAAAATACAAAATTTGATAACCAAACTGCAAGTTTTTCCCGCATTACGTACACACTTATTAAATATCCAAACTCAGCTATAAAAGTTCTACCGGAAGCCAGGGGCAGGGCCGAAAAACGCCAGACGTTCTGGGTACAAAATTATGAAAACATGCTTTCAGTTGCACTTACTGATTTTGTGCTGTTTTTCAGGAGGTTGCTATATATAAATGCTTAATGCGCACTTCTCCAAAATAAATTTTATGGGGAGGGGAAATCCAGCAAATAATGGCATAATGGTATTGGCCCGCCAGCCCGCATCCACTTTAAGAGAAGCTCCGGATGAGAAACTAATATACAACAAATATTGGGCTTTAATACTACTATTTATTTGAGGGAGTTTGTTTTGGCCGTCGTCGTCGCGTTGCCGTCCTAAAATCGTAAGGTCTCTAATAACCCCTCCGTGCGATCGTTTTAACGATCGCACGGAGGGGTTATTAGAGACCTTACGATTTTAGGACGGCAACGCGACGACGACGGCCAAAACAAACTCCCTCAAATAAATAGTAGTATTAAAGCCCAATATTTGTTGTATATTAGTTTCTCATCCGGAGCTTCTCTTAAAGTGGATGCGGGCTGGCGGGCCAATACCATTATGCCATTATTTGCTGGATTTCCCCTCCCCATAAAATTTATTTTGGAGAAGTGCGCATTAAGCATTTATATATAGCAACCTCCTCGATTTAGGGTGGTCGCATTAAAACGGCATTTTCTCAAAGTTAAAAAAGCATTTGACCTAAAAAAATATATGGTGCATTTTCCGATATAATAAGGTATATCTGGGCAAAATTTGAGCAAAATCGATTTTTCAGTCGTGGCCGCTTTATGTTTGATATTTGTGGACATCCTCTCTTAAATCACTTGCCGTTATATATAGATGCCTCTATATATACACCCTTTAATTACTGCTTTGCCCTTTCAGAGAGATTACGACATGCAGTCTTGGTTCATTTATTTGTTTGAGAATAAGTTTCACTTTCACTTAATATATGCGCTTACTACATGTTTCGTCGGTTTTAATATAGCCTAATAGCACAAAGCAACAAGAAAGAAATTCGTTTTTTACATCAAAACGTTTTTGTATACCCAACCATGCATGTATTAAAGTTGATTGTTTATAGATTCTAATTTCGTACCTTGTCTCTCTATGCACATGAGAGCAATATAAATGTATAGTAGTACACTCATATACCGGGTGTCCCAAAAAAAAGTACTCCGGTTTGATGTATAATACCTTCTAAACAAGTAAAGCTATCAAACAGAAATAACTTGCATTAAATAGAGGAAGGACTGACTTAGATTTTGATATATTACAGTTGTATTTTACTTAAAAATTCACGGAGATATAATGTTCAAAATCGGGAGCATATTTTGGGATGTGTCTAAAATTAGCGAAAATCGGCATATCAAATATTAACTTCAGCGTTTGTTTGCTTGATGACATATCAGGCTAACTTGTATTTCAGCGAATTGTCGTTAGGGTTTGTAAGGGATATGGCGTAGATTTAGACTTCTTACATGTAAGCTAAGTCTTAGCTCATTGTTTCCTGAAATATGAACGAACGAAATTATGCAAATATTTAATAGGTCTTTACAAACTTTACAAATTTATAAGATACATGAAAGACCATGCAAGGCAGGCGTTAAATTTTTCTTAGCCTAATTTTTTATGTTTTTCATGGGTTCAAAACAGAGTTGATTATTTCTCGGTTAGAGCAGGATGAATATTATTCTGCAATGAAGGAAATAATATTGCTTTTTGCAAATACACATCACAGTATCAACGCTACTATTTTGTTACGTTTTGTTCCAAAAATGTTGGATGTCTCCAGGGAGTTGCATGCTTAATTGTTATGTCTTATGGAGTTGTATGGTTTGATTGTGTTTCATTCTCAGTTTATTGTGAACTTAAAATGATTTAAGAAAAGGCAAATGAGTTAGAGTGTTCTTAACAAGATTTCAGAACATTGCAGAAGTTAGAAGAGCTTCACAATTCCATTGTGACAGCATGCCCTAATTCAGAACTACGAACGATCCATGACGATCCTTCGCGATGCAGTGGTCTCATGAAATAAGGAAACGTATTCGTGCTAGGAACACACACAGATTTCGGACGAATAAATATTGCTTGTATTTTGTATATAATAATACAGACTTTGTTTCATAATAAACAATTTGTCAAGTGTCATTTATTTACTGGTAATCGTGCATGTTTCAGTCGGGCAAATCTTGATTAATATTTGATACGCCGTTTTTTGCATATTTCAGACACATCCAGAAATATGCTCCCGATTTTAAACATTAATATCTCCGTGAATTTTTAAGTGAAATACAACTGTAATATATCAAAATCTAAGTTAGCCCTTCCTCTATTTGATGCAAGTTATTTCTCTTTAAAAGCTTTACTTGTTATATATATATATATATATATATATATATATATATATATATATATATATATATATATATATATATATATATATATATATATATATATATATAGCTATATATATCTATTGGTCTATATTGCCCGAAAATATTTGGGCCCATTTCTTGACTTTTCTTTGGGGGATCTTACCCTCCCCCCTCCCCCGAATTCAACAAGTTAAGATTGTAATGATTTTACGATATAAATATACTGTTAAGAAAGCGAAGAAAAACCTGAAATTACGCGTTGACCGACTTCAAGCGATAACGGGGATTATATATGAACCGCTTTTCACGCGAAAAACATTACTCTCTAATAAATTGTATAATATACTTTCTTCTAATATTCTCTACTGATAGATGTGTACATTCGGAGGAAGTCGGTGCATATAGTTTTAGTTACCAAGATCAGTATGTTTACAGTGCTTTCATACACTGATAAAAAATAAAAAGATAATACCGGCGGATAAAATTAGCAACGCGTGCATGTCAATTTCAGTCGGCACATGCGTCAAGACTTTTGCTCTATGTTATAAAGCTAGCATAAATGCTGGCATATTTATAACTTAGTCTCTATCCAAAAAACAGCCATATTTGAAAGATAGTGAACAATTTTGTATGTTTTTAACGCGAAAAATTTAAGTAAATGCATTAACAAATTATAGCTTATAATTAGTCGAATTAGCGAAAATTGACTATATTCATGACGCGCTTGTCAGGTGAAAAACATACTGCCCAAAGATTTTATTATTTATTCTAGTAGATGTGTCATAAAACTCAGTAGCTGCAATAGATTGGATACCTGATACCGTTGCACTTTTGAGAAAAAATAATTTACCACCAGCATACTAACACGAATATTTAATCCGCTGTCTGAAAGACGTTTTTAAAAATACACAATATTTTGTTTGCTTCAAGTGATCAGGATAATTTTTAGTTTAGGTTTATGCCTAGGCAGGAAATAATAAAATATGTAAGTTTCAAGAAGTTAGAATAAAAGCGCGAGATGAACTGTGAGATATAAAAAAGGTCAAATATCACTTGCGTAATTAACGTTTTAACTTGTTTTCGAACGCGTCCGAAAATAATTGCGAAAAAATTTTTTAAACTGACTACAATTTCAAAGTCAACGTTTTTTGCTCATTTTATGAATGACTTCTTCCACACAGAAAGTTTGAAGGAAATCTGTAATCTTAAGAAATTCGAGTGGTCGGTTTTTACACGGACTGCCTCTTAAACATCAATCATAGACATTTCGAGTAAACGAGTTTGTCCAGGGGTTTCATATATATCACTCTCAAGGTCATTTGGCTATTATAGCATCGGGTGATTCCATCATTAAAATAGGCCAAAATATAGGTTAAAGTACCCAAAATTTATAGTAACAAAGCAATCAAACTGAACGAGTTTATCGGTTTAGTATACATATTGATATTTAATTGGGTATATTAATGTTCTAGTATACTCCCTGGCCAGGCATGTTTTACCATTGCGAATGCAACTTACCAGGTGTATCCAGATTAAATGCCCATCTTATGTCGTAACTTCCTGACGTAGTTGTATTCACATAGCAGAATAACTCGAGTAACGAACCACGTAGACGTTGGACATTACTACTTGGTTCAATACGACTGATTGATGGACATGCTAAAATAGAAAGGAATTCCCGAATCAAGTCAAAGCTTTGTTATAAATTTAATCCCAACTTTACACGAATCCTCGCTCTGATATTTTCCACGGTCAAGTGACGTCGGCCGGTAATTGGGTATTTTGTTAATGGCCAACATGGAACATTTTTTGCATGGAGCTGAATGCATGGTAAGACTCAAATATAACTACAGTTTCATTCTGAAGCAATAGCTGCCGGAGCTATAATTAGGATCATGAACAGTGAAAATTTAATGATAGATTAAGATAATCATTTTGCCTCCAACGTTTGTTAATGTTATAAAACGCCGAAAATTGATAGAAAATATATGCACTTGACAGGCGTTAAAAATACATTTTATATTAGTAGTAATTTACTTCATTTTTTTCTGTAGACCCACCTTACTGGTGGCGGAATGGATAGTGCATTGAACCAATTGTTCACTCAGGTTAAATGAACATTGATACACAATATTATAGAAGTCCGCCATAACTAAACGGGCCAAACGAACGAGAATGAAATGAGACTAAGACGTAATAACTAAAATAATTACATTATTTTGATAATGACATTATGACTGATTGCCAGCTCCTTCTTCCTCCACAATAAATACTCAACCTAATAAGTTATAATTCAAGCCAGCGCATTTGAACACAGAGTACTTACACTCAGGTTAATTTAGCGTAATGGATTGTTTCAGTCCGCCAAGTTCTTAGCAAGTGCCCTAAAGAGAGGCAGCCACCCCCTGAAAACATATTGAAATGTAATGTTCCAGGGGGAGGGGGGGTGAGTGGCTCTCTTTAGGGCACTTGCTAAGAACATGGCCGCCAGCTTTTTTTTGTAAAAAACTATCTTACGGTTTTCCCGCAGAAGTGAGACCTCTGTATGCAACTACTCTGTGATTTGATACTTACATCCACATTTCACGAGAGAAGACGCGCCCTGATATCGTGTACATCTGCGATCATTTGGACAGCGGTTACATGACTTGGATCCAGAATTAGATTGATATTCCCCAAGTTCACATAACTCACAAGGTTGAAAACCGTCCGCTGAGAAGTAACCAGGTGCACAAGTCGCTGAAATATGAACAAGACATGGGTTTAAGATGTTTAAGGGAAAGTGTGGTGAGCATTATCATACTATCATGAACAACTAAAAATCCAACCCCTCTGTCCAATGGATAGACGAAAAGCTAAAGAGAAGAAAGGTGTCTCATTTCCAAAATTGGCATCGTTCATCGTGATGGTCACAAGGAGTGTCCATCCATGCTGGATAACTGAAAATTTTTGACGTTATCTAACACATGTTTTCAATTCCTCCTGCATTATACACCTTTCTATTGTTTTCCAATTCTAATTAATAATGTTTTCTAATTGTTTTCTTTTCTAATTCTTGACTTGCTTGGATTAAATTCATTTAATCGGTTTATTTGTATCACGTAATCACTTTTGTATTTCCACGTGACAACCTGCGGAAGGGCATCCGGATCCGCTTATTCGAAGTGCTTCCGCATAGTCGAAGGGTTTCCGTTCACGCAAAGGCAGTTTATTAATGACTCCCTGAGGAGTTACCCAGGGCAGTGGCAAAGCCCAGTTGGAAGCGGGTGGAATTTTAAAAGTGAGTTTTGTGCAACAGAAACCTGACAGATATGTTTGCATACTTACCTTTACATCCTGAACGCTTTTTTGTGCCGGCTTTAGATGAAGTACCAGGAGGACACTTCATGCAAGCTGCTGGTCCAGATTTACCAGTTGTACTCTGATATGTCCCTGCAGGGCACAGCTTACACTCGTTGTTTTCGTAATACGTTCCTGACGGACAGTCGCCTGTAGAATAGTAAAAATACTTAGAGATAAGACTGAGCAGTAATAGAAAATAGACATGGGATATAGAAAAAAGTTACACCTAATAATCACTTGAAAATGCTAACAATTTTGCTCAAACTGTGTATTAATAGCGTCTCGTTCTACAAAAAATTCTTGTCGAATTTGATAAAAAATAACATAATCTTGCCATTTCATTTTTAACTTTAAATAATTTTGAAAAGATTCCCATATTTGAATGTTTAAATGAACAAAGATTCTGCAATCGCTCCCTATGTACTCTCGTTATAATTTTGCAATCCGTTATGACTTTACTCTCAAAATGAGTACCCATTTTTTAGGATTAGTAAAACGTCCTTATTCACTTTACGTCAATAATGCATTCTGGCAACAACAAAATAGCGTCAACCTTAATCAATAGTCAAGCAGTCAAATTCTGAAATGAGCTTTACACATTGCAGTACGTAACAAGGTACATTTGTATTGACGATTTTCCAATATTTTCGTCACCACACTCGTCTGTAAATTTACCAGCTAGTAGCATCTTACTTTACGAGTCCAGGAGATAAATTTTATCCTTGCTTAAATTACGCTATAATAATAATCTTACCGCAAACTTTGACATGCGTAACTGCATCTTGTGGTAAAGTAGTTGTCATAAGAACTTTGCCATTTGGACATGGCGATCCATTTGAGTCAACATAATCTAAAATTAGAACAAATTGTAAGCCATTGAAATGAATATAACTGGAACGCTGCCTTCAGATAAACTAGAAAAGATAGGCATAAAATAAAAACGTTAGGCATCTTCTTCTTGAAGCCAAATCTGACCCATACGTGTTCATGTTATGATTGACAGATTGAGCGCTCTTCCCATACGTGAAAAGACTGAGACTGGCCTTGAAGTTTGGCTTCAAATTTCCGGTCGGAGGTAGCGTTCCAGTTATATTCATTTCAATGTTGTAAGCTAATGTTTTGTGAGATTAGGAATCTACACTGGATTAATACTGATGTCATCATTGCTTGTCCTCGGTGGGAGTCGAACCTGCGATGCATCATACCATCTGAGCTACTAGATCAAGTAAGGTGATGTTTCGGAACTAAGTCCAGACATTAGTTCCTACAATATCTTGTGACATTGTATCGAATGATTGTAGGATTATTATCCATATATACCATGCATGTTTTACGTTTTACTCTTGCCATTAGGGCGGTTGATAATGCTTTTTTTCTGGTAAGCAAAGAAGGAATGACGCGACATTTTTGAAACACGGGCGTCTTGCGTACAAAATAGCGGGACAGTTATTAAAACTGGCTATAATAATAATAATAATAATAATAATAATAATAATAATAATCTGTTTAATTAATCACATTGCAGTCTCCACTGAATTACATGATTGTAAGTAAATACATTAAAAATTAAATTTACAGATAAAATTGAGTTCAAACCGTTCAATGTTCGTTCTGAATAGTCAGTTTAAATCTGTCCACAAATTATAATTGGGTCCCTGAATTAATATACACGAGTACTACTAAATCAATAATACATTAATAATTATATTTGACAGTTATAAAATTTTGAAACCGTTCTGTGTTCGTTTGGAGTGACCAGCTTGATTCGGACCTAAGATTATAATTATGAGTATTTGAATGTATACGAGTTGCAACAACATCCTTAAGAGGATTTATAGGACCATTGTCAAGCTTCAATTTCCGAATAAATTGTTCACAGGAATTTTGTCTACGCGTACTTAACTTTTTTAGACCAGTATAATTCAATGCGTCTTGATACGACATTTCGGGAAGCAAGATACGTAATGCTCTTCTCTGTATCGATTCGATAAGGTCAGACTGGCCTTGGGTCAGCGTTGACCATGCAGGTGAAGCGTACTCAATTCGGGACCGAATGAAGGACGAATATATAGTGACAAGGTCTTTATCGCTTAACCCAGCCTTTTTTAACTTCCGCAATGCATAGAGTCTAGAATTTGCTTTTTTAATCACATAGTCGACATGATCACACCAAGATAGATCCTCTCTCAGTAGCACACCGAGCAGTTTAAAGGAGGATACTGATTGCACTGGCGAACCATCTATATAGATCGCATTATCATGTGGAAGGTGGTATTGGAGGAAGGATATTGTCATCTCCTTACATTTCTTACTGTTAAGCTTCATTCCTCTACTTGAGGCATACTGAGATACATCATTTACGAGAATAGGTAGCAAGCTAGGAGAGCAACGTGGAACAATTTCTAGTGCAGTAGCATCGTCTACAAACTTTATCCGCCCATTCCAGTCCTGTAGGAGGGAATTGACTAAAATGGCAAAGAGAAGAGGGCCAAGTTTAGTTCCTTGAGGTAGGCCACCGTTCACGGGTTTCCATGAGGAAAAGGATGGTCCGATTTTAACACACTGTTCGCGGGAGGTAAGGAACGACTTTATCCATCTTATAATGGCAGGACTCACTTGTAATTTTAAAAGTTCATCAATAATGACATTATGGTCGACGAGATCAAAACCTTTTTTGAAATCAGCAAAAAAGATTCTTACAGAGCAGTGGCCTGGATCTAAAGCAGCATGAATCAAGTGTAGGAGATAAACGAGTGCCTGAGTGGTTGACTTTCCCGGAAGAGCAAATTGCTTTGGGTCCAATTTAAGACCCACTTCCGACATGAGGGACTGTAGCATAAAAGGTCGTAAAAAGCTTTTATACCATTTTCCCCAGCTAATTCCAGCTTTTTTCTAACGGACCGTATCGCTAACCAAGTGATCAGTTCATAAAACCATAGTGATATTCTTTAAATCGATGTCAAATTACGAAATTTTGGTACACTCCTTGCCCAGATGGAGGAAATTGAAGGAGCTATTGGGCGTCAGTTCCAGTTCCTTTCTATTGTTTTTTACGTCTGCGCGGTTAACACGAAGCTGGCTTCACTTTTTGGACTCGAACTCTCGCTCCAGATATATATGGAGCTCATGCACTGGTTTAACCTTTATAACCAACCACCAGTCAGCGAATATCTCTAATTAACATACGCTTAAGGCCCGTTTACACGAGGTGTGGTTTCCACTTGCAATTTTAGGTGCGATTTTCTTCTTCTGATGGATGTGAACGAGTGGATAAGTTATGAATGCTCAGATGAGGGTATGTACTCCAAACATTCGTAACTCATCTGCCTTTACACGTTCGTCGTTGTATATATTCCTTGATTAGAGGTTCAACTGTATTAAATTAATTTTCCAATGTGATATATTACGGTGTATATAGTAAACGCTATCTTGTGTTCCATATATCAAATTATCAAACTTACCAACACAATCAGGAAGAGTTTTTGATGGCGACCACTTATAACCTTCACAAAGCCATACGCGTGAATCGTATAGACCAGTAGCATTAAAGAGTACTTTACTACCCTTACAGGAAACTAGGCAGTGCGTAAAGAGAATTCCCGCGTGACATTGTGCATCGCCGTTCACTGGAGCTTCAAGGCTTCCACAAACAGGAGCTATATACAAAATAATTTTAACATTATATTAAACCAACTTAGTGCTGTAAACCAAAGCAAAAGCTGAAGGCTTGCATTTGGCTATAAGTATTTTAGGGCTCGTTTATGTGGCCCCGCTTTGCCGGAGAGGTAGGATGATGTTGATATAAGATAATAAGTCACAGTTTACGATTAAGGGTAATTATTTTCCTGTCGAGATTTTGGAGCATCTCGTCCGATAGAACTAATAGTATATAAGGTTTTTGATAGTATATAGTTACTAATAGTATATAAGGTTGACCGGGTGGAACTACTATTATGACAATTCTCATAACCTTTCAAACAACACAACCGTTTTCTTGAGTTACTGTATCTATTCAAAAATATTTCAGTTCGTTTAATTAAAAGTGATAATGTATACTACGTACAATACTTCAACATCATCCTGCCTTCAATTTTATCCCTTCAAAGCGGGATCATGTAAGCAGCTTCTTATGTTAGGCTTTGCGAAAACAAGAGCCTGTATAGCCACAGCTCTCATTCTCTTACCATCGACATGTACATCAAACATACAATACGCCGTGTTTCCCGCGCTGTCTCGGGCAGTGACAGTAATGGTTTTTTGGGAACCTGTCTGGATTTCCACAGGATTGGGATGAGAATAATCAATTCTTTTGACAGCGATATTATCTGTGAACTGAACATTGGGCAGTTCCACCAATTCTTTTTCACTTTTTGTTGCGATCAAAATATCATGTTTTGGACAATTGACAGCGACAGGTTTTTCTTTATCTGTAACATAGTATAAAGGCAAATTACTTCATTTGGCATATTGTCATAATACTGCAAGAGCACCATAACCTGAAGTTCAGGCCCTATAATTTTAAAAGAGCACCAAGACTACCAATACCACCGTGACTATGGCAATAGACTATTTAACAATTAGTCGCCGAAGGCGAGGTGATTACAAGCCTATATTCACTTCGCCTTCGGCTCAGCGAATATAAATATATTGTTTTAGTATAATTTCAGTATTGAAAAGTTTTATTTATAAATAACAACTGATATACATGTGTTTATTTTATGAATATAATTTGCATAAATAATTTATTTCCGTCTGATTTTCAGCCTTTTTTTGGGAAAAGCAATAGTTACTATACTCAGGGGCCGGTTGTTCAAAGGTGGGTTAGCGCTAACCCTGGATTAAGATTTAACCTGCTGTTTTAGTTTGTGTATTTCTGCACGTCTGTTTATTTCAAAACTTCAGAGAAGTAAACTCCTATCGATCCAAGCAAGATCTCTGAAGAAATATTTCCAAATTTATAGACAAGCTGTCAGGAAGTTTGCTTTGAATTTTAGGTTAACCTGGGGTTAAGCTAACCCAGCTTTGAACAACCGGCCCTAGAGCAGTAACTATTGCTTCAGAGTTACTGCTGAGGGAGCCAATCAGAATGCTCAAAGGCCATTTTTCAATACTGAAATTATAGACCAAGTCATATGGGGTGATATGGCCTGTGCAAGTGCTATATAGTTAGATACTCCCACACTATAGTCATCTAGTCCTGGTTATATTAACCAGACTATTGTAGGAAGTGAGATAAAATAACCAGGAAGTTTAACCAGGAATATTAAGTTAACCCGAACAGGGTTATTTTTAGGTTTACCTAGCTGGATATTTTAACCAATGAAAAATTTAAATTTAGAGCGTGTATGCAAAATAGTCGACTTTAACGATTGCAGAGATATGTCTATATTTTACATTGGCTACACCATGACAGTCTCATGGCTTAATGGTCAAATGGAAACCAGGCTTAAATCAATAACCAGTAACACTTACCGTTTACATTAACTGTGACCGTGCATGTCTTAAAGTTGATATTGTCGTTTGAGACAGACCATGTAACAAAACTCGTTCCAGCAGGGAACCGATCAGTTTTCTTGTGTGATGATGTAAGATATTTAGCATTTTGAGACTTTTGAGGAATCTTCCAGAGACTGCTTACGTCAGCAGAACTTTCACCTGGCTTCAGGTCTACTGAGATACTGGCTGGACATGTTATCCATAAATCAACAACAACTAAAGAAAAGAAAGAGAAATAAAGACTTCGTATAAAACCATTCAAGGACGAACAACGGGAACAAAACTCCCAATCAAGCGGGATGATGAATTAAGGCTGTGAAAGTCTGGATTACCTAATCTTTTTATAATTTTGCACCAATGAATTAAGTCTAAAAATGGTGTTAATCACAGAAACCGCCGTACGGATAGAGCAATACACGATACCGGATTCGTTCGTCACGACATCGAATTTAACGGTTTCAAGTATTGTATCTTATATCGTGTAACTGGGGCCTGAGGTGTCCATCCCTTCTGGTTATAAGGGGGCCTTATAAAACTACCGAAAGTCACTGTATATATAGGCTTCGTATCATCTTCTCGTTTGCTAATATAAAGAAACGTGGAGAGATTCGGAACTAAATATCATAAAAAAAGCAAAGACTTTTAATAAAAATGTCTCATATATACCGGGATCTCCTGATTATACGCTGACTAAAACTATAATCATTTCAAAGTTTACACAATCATACCTCTGTCACACGTAGGTACTGAACCACTCCATGTTCTATTTGCCAAACATCTGACATCATTTGCACCATTCACGTTATAACCATCGTAACAGATAAAAGTACAGGTTTGGCTGTATGTAGCACCAGAAGAACACGAAGCTGGTCTGATTCTGCCATTGTTAGGAACCCGTAGTGGTTGACATCTAACAGCTGAAAAAATTCAGAAGAGAAATATTTTTCTTTTTCATTTAGTCGCTTGTCACTCCTCGAAACTCTCCTAGTCCAGGAACGAGAACTAGTTCTTTTACCCTATGACTATGTCGTTCAGTGTCAGTATTGACGACCGTTCAAGTACGACGAAAACGTAAAGCAACCGCAACAACTAGACTCAGAAACACAACAAATGCATTCTATTAACAAGTTAGATATATTTTTTACGTATATCGTTGATACTATTTGAATTATTTCGTTAAATATTATAACGTATAAATTTTCCGTATAAATATTCAAAATATATAGACCATTCAGAGATTGGGCTGCTGTGGTCAAACTGCAAATCTCACCAATCTATCACCAGGGGATCAGCGAAGGAATTCCAAGGAGTTATTCCACACACTACTTACAGGGTCTCTACCGGAGGTCGGGGTGTAACACCCCCCTCCCAATATTTGTTCATGTGTAATTTCCGGGAAATTTACAGGTGACCTGAACTGATTTGAAGATCCCAAAGGTCGCGGGTTCGATTCCCACCGTGGTCAGGCTAATTTTTCAGCCTGCCCGGTGTCGGCGGTGTGTATATATACAGTACACTCAGAGCAACATCAAAAACATTATATTCACCTGAGTACATATGAACATCAAAACACACACAAAAAATAAATTATAAGAGTATTGACAGGCAAACGTGGAAGTTAAAAATAAACGCAAGCTAAGAAAACTTTTAGTTTTGCATTTCTGGCCTTTCTAACAGTCATGAAAAAACCACACTAACTTTCAAACACTGTTTTTAGGTAACGTAAAATGTAATTAAAGAAATAACTAAGTTAATTTGAGATCTACACACGCCCCCACCCCCAAACGAGAAAGTCTTTGCTACGTCCCTGACTACTTACGCCTGCATGTAGGTGTTGTTCCTTTCCACAAAGCTTCTGCTCCACATGTAAGTTGTGTTTGTGCTGGATCAGTTATTTGATAACCGGCCAAACAATAGAATGAACACACATCCTTAAAACTATTTGCATTTTGCTGCGTGCATCTGGATTGACGGACCATGGCACCATTTGGAATCACAACCGGACCACACGTTCGAGCTAGAAAACATTATACGTACGATGTTCAACACAAAACAATAGATATACTCGATCAATTGATAACATCTATAATTTTGTGTTCAGTGTTTAAAACACAAGCAGGAGTGCTTTATCAAACACGAAGTTTTATCTCGGATAAAGCACGGACTGCGAGCGTTTTAAATGGCTTAAAAAACGACCCATCTAAAGAGTTCATTGGCGAAGTAATTTTAAAAATAAATGTTGTCTAAGCCGAGAAAATCAGAGCTAAAGTTCAGGTAAATGAAGATGATTTTTTATCACATATAAAACCACCGACACGGCAGTGATTTCCTTTGTCTTTTCCTCATGAATTATTAATGAGTTTTTTAATATGTTATACATGCAATACGGTCGCTCATTCTGTATATGTTATAAAACTGCTTACCTTCAAATGCTGGTTTTCTTCGCAAAAATAAGAAATTTTCGCACAAAAGTATGAAAAGAGAAACGTTTCTGCATGTGCGTATCATGCTCGTCCCACGATCATTAAAAGGTTATATGCAACATTCATATTGGGAAGTCAGAGAAAGAATATGGTCCACATGGTTTATGAGAAAGTGCCGGTGACGGAGGAAACATGGAAGATAAACCTTCAAAACCTTTTTTAAACCGGTGCTGTCAAATTAACACAAGTGGAAACCTGACGTAGCCAAGATATTCTGTTTCTTTCTACCAAACTTAAAGTACATACAGTATATATTAAACTTACCAATACAGCTCTTGCCATTGCCAGACATAATATATCCTGGAAAACAATTGCACCGATAACTTCCTTCCAAATTCTCACAGACAGATTTTCCAACATCACACGAGTGCCCCCCTTTGCATTCATCAATATCTAGAAATATAAAGGAAAATCCATTGCAAAATTCATCATTTAACTGGAAATATCAGGGCATCGCACTCGATTAAACTAATGTTGAAGGATTTTGTAGATGAAAATTTCGAGTGTAACTTTTATACATTTATTAAGACCTTCAGTTTTTCTTGCTACAACCATTCTGATAGAAGAAAAATCGTCCACGAGTTGTTTGATTGCCCGTCATTTGGATGAAAAATCACGTGATTGCAAACAAAGAATACGTAACGCATTACATGGCAAAGGCTTGGATTAATACCTTCTTTATTCTAGTCGTGCCAGTACCTACCTTTACAAACGTTGTCCTTTTCATTATAGAAACCCGGTTTGCATTCACATTTATATCCTGGTGAAAGATCTGTACATTTTACACTTGTTTTGTAGTCACATGCAGTCGGGCTTAAACATTCGTTCTTGTCTGAAATAGGAAATAAATTCAATGATATTACCGGTCAAACATTCTCATCAACTCTCGTGAAAATTTGAAATCGAACCAGCTAAATGGTGATGAGAGTAAACAGTATATACAGCTACTTACTTCTACAACTGAATATGTCCGTAGGATCGTTCTCGTACCCTTTAGGGCATTCACATTTATAACCTCCGTGATTGTTGATACATTTTGCGGGGGATCTACATTTGTGTGTGCCCAGTTGGCATTCATCTTTATCTAAATTCCCAATAAAAAGGTATGCATGTAAATCTTGCCGAATAGAAGTTATATGGGTGATAGTGTTTGAAAACTGTTTTATTCTTGAATATTTAAAATTTTAACAACACAACACAAAAAGTTAGAGACTGGAAAAACGGTTTAAAGATGCAAATGCCACATGCCATGTGACTTCATCAGTTGTTACCGGTCTACGTCATGCTTGCGGTAAGATTGCAAAGTATTGCAACGTCATGTCAATTTTTACCTATGCAAAAATATCTATCTACCAAGGTTAACCCTGATAAACAACTGCAAACATAACTTCCATCTGTATTCCTGCAAGTTTGTTGACATTGACTTTGACCATTGATACATTCATCCACATCTTGAAGGGAAAATACATACATGAGAACGCTTCTTGATTCACGGTATAATTACGTCACTATAGCAAGATTTGTTGCGATATGGTAGTTTTAAGCCGGAAATTAAAAGCCTGGTCCTTTAAGAGATTCTCATGCCATTCAATGTCCTGATCCCCATTAATGGTGTAATCCGCTCACTGCTGACTATATATTACCAGTATAGCCAGCATGCATGGCAGACAATCTTCCCATGCACGAGGCGGACAAGTTGATATGACGGCGAGATAAGGGAAACTCAATTTGCCGTATATTTAATCATTCGTTTCTTCAAGATAAGAATTAAGCTTAAAAGTGAGTCTCAATTTATTAAGGTTTAAGCTTACACAAGTCACGATCAAGATAACAAACGCACTACGCACTTATTTAAGCTTGCAAGGTTATGTGTTATGTAAATACAGTTCCTGCATAATTTAGTATTTCAAGGAACATGATGGCATAGAGATAAAAGAAACACTGTGGTACTCATATTGTATGTATGGGTTTTAGATGAGGTTAAACAGGTTTATACTGTTGTGTTTAGCCTGTTAACTGTAGGTGGAGGACAACGAAATTTACTCCTTGGGAAGCTTGCCTGTGCTTAAAAATTCGTGAAAGTAATGTTTGGTTGGTTCTCTCTTCAAGTGTTTTTCTCTTGGTCTGGCTATGGTGAATTGGGCAACCACACATTGTGTTAGCCATATTAAATAATTAATCACCATTATCATTAATGCGCGTCAATTTAAACACTCAGACGTACCTGCACATTTACTGCCGTCAAAACTGTAGCCAGGTTTACAATTGTTACAGTGATAAGTACCGGCAGTGTTAGTACAGATTGCATTAGGATCGCTGCATCCACTTGCCTGGCATTCATCGACATCTAGGAAAAACAGAAGCGTAACCATCTTCAATATAATTATAATATTCAACGTTATGTAGTCAACCTTTATATGACAATTTCAATTTGTTTCGTGGCACAGTGGTTACAGTGCACGTTTGTACCGAATTTCGATTCCTAAATTGTATAATTCCTAAAGGCCACCAATAAAACTCTTACAAATCGTATAATCTAACCTTCACATTTGTCGTTCACAAGATGATACCCATTTCTGCAGTCAAATGGTCTCTTAACTAAAAAAACATGCAAAAATATGTTGATCACAGTTTGCTCCTCCGGTAATACGTGAAACAACATCGTAAAAAATATCTTGAAAAAATTTTCTCTTGACAATATTTCAAGTTTTTATATACATGCCATAGTAATTTGGTTCAGTTTCGTAATGCTTACCCTGTACATTGTACCATCTATCAGCTTTACCAATTTCACAACCACAATAAAAAACATATTTATAATTATTTCGTGGATCTTCAACTTCAATCTGAAAAAAGAATAGGGAATCACTGAGAGTTCCGACTAGTAATAGTGACAACAGACTTGCTCTAAATCTCTCTCTGTGTTTTCTGATAACGATTTTTTCTATACACTGACAATTACAATCTCAATAACCTGTCTTATTTAATTCATGAATTCTGAAGGTGCAAGTTTTCATCGGAATCGGTTCTTTATTTTTGTTGTTTTGGCTGTTTTCTTACCCTGTCAAGATCCCAATCATCCCCCAATCCGAATGAGGTCGATCCTCGTTTCACTTCAATTCTTGATAATTCTCCAAGATACAAACCTGTACGTAATCGTTCAACGTCGTGCCTGATCGATAAAATAATTATTCAGTCACAGATAGCAGTCAAATACGCAAGTTTTCTAAAAATACGATATTCCAGAAGCACCATGCACAAACTAAAAACAACTTCAGTCGTACCCATTATAGTCCTATAGTTTTGGAACCAATCATAGGTCCACTTAAAAGAGGCATCTGCTTTATAGCTGATATAATAGAATTTTATTGGCATTTGGACTGGAAATCATGTGTTTACCATTGGCGCAGCCAGCAACACACCGTTCGATAATTACGTCACACGTACTTTTTGGTCCTGGAGCCTCGCTCTCATTATAGTAAATTATGCAAGGTGATTGGCTCACGATTCATGAGAGTGAGGCTCCCAGGCCAAATGACGTAATTATCGAAAGGGGGTATTAGACGGAACAATATACGACGTCATCAAGAAACTGTTGGGTGGGTGCTGGGAACACCAGGGCGTGAGGCTGGAAGGGGGGGGAGGATTTTTTAAACTCTGAGGGCTCTCGGAGTCCCGGAAATGCAATAAAATTTTCTAGCTGAACAAATAATAGTCTTTAAAAATTTCTTAGGAAAACGATGAACCTTTCATTGCACAAAGAATAAAATGTGCTTGCTTACGTAGCATTAACAAATTTTCTGTCTTTTATCTCTTATTTATTGAGTTGTAACAAATTTGTTGTTAAGCTAAAACCCTAACCTTTATTGATATGAAAAATTATACACTCAATATTTATTGAAATCACAAAAGCACGCTAAAGTTGGATTACCTTTTTTGTACAGTCTGTAGGTATAGGGCATACAAAGTGGTTTACCTCTAATTTATTACAATATTAGGGAGCATCTTTAGCCAAGACGATCAATGAAACTAAAACTTGAGCTAAAAATCCTAAATTATAGAACACTAACGGTTGCTGTCACTATATATGTATTCAATTTTTGTGAGGATTATAGTTTCATACCTCTAGAGAATGACTGCTGAACTATAGTCTATATTAATGATTTCACAAATCTCAATTTATAAAAATATCGAATAATAACTCACGCATTTTGCTCGAATGGATTACCAGGTGGGTCGATCTTAGTCTGCGACAACACCAGCTTGTCATTTTTGTCATAAAACCTTAAATATACAGGAGCATCCGTCCCTGCTTTAAATTTGTCAGCGGTATAAATGTGAATGACGTATTCCACGGCTTGAGCATTGATTATCCAATCTATAAAAAAGTCAAATCTATGTGATGTGTGCAAATTGTCAATTTCAGATCTGTGACGTTAATATTTTTCAATTTGAATGGAAAAACTGCAGTAAATACACAAAAACGAATTATCAGCTCACTGTTTGTGAATGTTAATTTCAAATCAAAATGGCCTATAGATTTGCATATTTACATAGACGAATACTGTAGTATACTCAGCTCAAACATAAACATAATGAGCTGTTTTGTGCATGACTGTGATACTTAATCTGAGTCCAAAACGGCAAAACTTGCTTAACATTAACTTGCATGATATTTCAAGGATCCACTGTAGATAGTGGTCTATACCAAAATAATATTCTCTGCATGTATTCTAGCCGTGGTTTGAGTCCGAACAACCAAAAAGTGAAAAAATGAAGTATATCAGTATATTAACTGCATGCAAGGGAAACGTTTTACTACATATAAGCGCAATGTACGCTTTTTACGACAGCCTTTCACCCTCGAAACGTTGGGTGTTTTTGCAGCGTTCCACCATCCTCCCACAAAATTACCTCTGTGTTTTTATCCTTTATATTTTTATTTCAGTTTAGGGAAATTTCCACCTTGCTGTGCTTGAATTCGTGCGGTTTCGTACACTGCATATATATTGGCCTTAGCCTTGCAGTGCTCTAAAGGGAAGCCGCCACTCGCCCCACCCCCTGAAAACATTCAAAATGACTGACTTAATGTAGCTTAGGGGGGCGAGGGGGAGCGAGTGCCTTTCGTATAAGCGCATGATGTGTTCGGCTGTCTACGGGAAAAACTGCATTGGGCGGCGCGGAGGTTCTATGACATACATATATATAGGTGAAAGTGCTGCAGGTGCAAATTTGGGTATGCGGTTCCGAATTCGTCCGAGTCCATGTGAACGGAGCCTACACATGCAGTATATAGAATATTTTTACACTCTTGAGCTTCTTTTCAATACTGGGTGCATGGTAAATATAATGAATATCGTAAGGAAGGAAACACTGCTATATATGAAATCAGGTTTATTGCCTATTGGTTTATTTATTAAATGACAAGCACTACGCTCTCTTGTATATTCATGAAATTTCAGTCGGATGCAAGTGGAGTATTTATAGTTACTTTCTTTCTGAGAGGTGGACGAATTCCCGTGTGCATGAACAAATGAAACAGTATCGTCTGCATGACCGAACACTTTGTGGCGACTATATAAGCTCTATATTCAAAAGCAACTATGACAAAAATACAGCATTATAAAAAGTCAAAGGTTGCTCCGCATAAAATAACCTGATAATTCACTTCATATTGTATTCAACATTTATACACCTTATATTTTCTTTATATTATCATACCTATATTCAAATTAATATAGCTATATCCAGTATAATACTATACTTCAACTGTACAAACGTACGATTGCGACCAAAATTACTAACCTGATAGAAAGGCCAAGAGAAAAACTTTCAATATACACGACCCCATTTTTTCGATGTTTACTACAAATGTGAGAAGAAGAGTGAAGATAAAAGTTAATGGAGATTTCAAGACAACAGAAACTATTTATTTTAGATTAAAAGAATCAAATGATATTTGTATTTAGCTAGATTGATTTTGCGGAAAGTATAAACAGCTGTTGTGTTGAAAATTGGTTTTGTGCATAATTTTGGCACATATCACGAGAGTGCATGATTATGTTACCAATTTAAATATGCACAATCATGTTAAAACATTCGCAAAACACGAACGGCACTTTGTATCATTGGCGGCGAAAAATTGATTTGGCGGTGGTGGGGATAATTGGAGGTTCGTGGGGTATGCTGCTCCGGAAATCTTGATGCCTATTAGATTTTCCGCGAAATGCCATTTCCTGGGAAGATTAGACATGCAGAAACCAAATTATTTTGTTCATTTCATTCAGGCAGCGAAGAATTTGACACATAGTTAAGCCGGTTTTCCACTAGCGAATTTTTCGTGTGAAGCGACCTTTTTCCTTTGTCGGTATCACTTATTACGTAAGCAAGACGTGGCAAAATGGATGCCGACAAAGGAAAAAGGTCGCTTTGCGCGAAAAAATTCGCTAGTGGAAAACCGGCTTTAGGCCCGGTCAAACGAGAACAAGAGTTGCACGACAGTTGACGAGAGTTGGCTGGATATTACCGCGCGTGCGTAGAGAAAACTCTCATCATGCGACTCCGATTAAAATTTGGTACACGAGAGTCGATGAGACTCTCATTTCCGTTTGAGGCAAATCTTTTTGTTTTTTAATAACGTAATTATATAGTATTCACCCCTCGATTAAATCTTGTTCAAAATCATTTGATATATAAGAACGTCTATCTACACTGCATATATTTTACAATTTTTGCTTATAGATTGTACAGGTGTTCAAAATTTACTATACGAATACAATAGTTACATTATATAAACATTACGAAATTAACTTACATTATAATTTTAGAAGATGTTTGGACGCTAACCTGCGTAATTGCTATGAATTACTCTGTTCTTCGTCCGACGGTTTTTCATATGGTCTTTCCAAGAGAATCCATTTATGGACGAAATGCCGGTAACCTATACGGCATCGACGCATCCATGCAAGAATTCATTCATTGCTCAATTTCATTTTACAAAAAAATCGCTAACGACAAGTTTTTGTGTTGTTCGACGAAAAGTATATCTTGTTTTCCCCGAGACTATCTAAAGTTCTTTCCTATGCATAGCAAAGCCAGTTCGGAAACCAAACTCATCACTGAGGAGGGGGTCCAGCAGGTTTGTTCGTTCGCAACCCCAATTTGTGATAGTTATTGTTCCCACAATGCAATTTCCTGTATTTTTAAGTGGGAATGGAAGGATTACAAAAGTAGTATTGGAGAAATATGGGGGAGGTTGCGGACCTCCTTAATTACCCCTGAGGCCTCCTCACTGCCTGACGGCCAATTTAAAAGCATGTAGGAACCTTAAGACATAATAGTAGTACCTGCCAATCAATCAGTAATAAGATGAATCATGAGGCAGAAGAGTTCATACAACAACACTAGAGATTAGAAAAAATAAACAATCATTCGATGTAGTGATGAAGATTATAATCCATGGACAAAATATTTCGCTTTCCCCTTGTCTTCGTCATGAGGAATGTAACGTCATATGATGCATTTAATTATAATTTAAACCGTTATATTATACTTTATACATAAAATAATTTAGTAAGAATGGTCATACTTGTTGAAGTAGTTCAATCACTCATGTCAACAATTCCAGTAAGATTTCCAAAGTCATGGATACATTGCATTATTGTTTTCATTATACGTATGAAACACAACATTATTATTGTTCTTGCCATATGCTGTATGCATAGGCGCGTGAGAAGAATTTTCCCGAAAGTTATGCTGAATTGGTCACCAAATTTCATCACCAACATTGTTTTGATGGTTTAATTAGCGAACTCCAATGCACGAAATGAAATTTTCCGAAGGTTGTCCAACGTCGACGGTTGACCATCTTAACACGCATCACCAGTCACTGTTTTGAAGATTAAACCAGCGAACCTAAACACTTTATACTCTAGTTTCCTACTTTATAGTTATTTCTTCATCATTCTCCCAAGAAAGGTACTTTTCTAGGTGAGGAAACCACGGTTAAGGACAGTTTTCTAAATTACAATTTCACCAAATCTTGCTCACAGTTTGCCACTTTAGCCAGCATCATTACAGGAATTTTCACTTGGTAGTTTTCACAAAAATACCTTGTACCTTGTAAAAATACCTTGTATACCAATTACCTTGCAAAAATGAAGGAAAGATAATTTGAGGAATTTCAGAATTAAGATTTTTTAGTTAGTCACTTTAGTTTTTACCACTCATTGTTTTGAAGATTCCACTTAAGAACCTGCTTAGAGTTTCCTCAAGAACGTTAACGAACATTACAGTTTCGAATTAACTTTTTTTCAAATGTTGTTTTACGTTCTCTTCATAATTCCAACTGATTGGTTGATGTAATAATAAAAATGACAATTTCCCCCATAGTTGCCCGAGCACTGGTCACTTTGGGCCAGTATATCTTTAGTTTCATCATCATTAGTTTTATCATCATGTTTGGGCCACTATCTTTAGTTTTATTATATCACCATGTTTCGACCACTATCTTTATTTTTATCATCATGTTTTGGCCAGTATGTTTAGTCTTACCATCACTGTTTTGAAGTTAATTTGGTCATCGTAGCCACTTTTCATTAACAATTACGTCGAGGAACATTACGTTTTAGAAATAAAACTTTACTGAAATGAATGTAGTCCACAGATAGTCACCTGGGCCAGCATCATTACCAGTCGTTGTTTTGAAGGCTCGGGCAGCAAACCTAGCACTTCGTAGTTCTCTTCAGTTACAATAACTCGCACAAATGATCAGTGAAAGATGAAATGTAATTATAATCGAGGAACATTCCACTTCAGAACTAGAATTCTACAAAATGTTATCCAAAGTATAACACTTTAATCAGCATTATTACCAATCATTGTTAGGTTTAAGGGTCAACCAGAAACCTTGCACTTCGTAGTTCTCGTTCAAAAAAGTGTAGATTATTGACATGCAAGTGCTGTATATATAGGTTGAGACTAATATTGTGCTATTATAGCTACTGACAGCTTCATCCCCATTATTGTTTTTTAGGCTCAACCAGCGAAGCTTAGAAAGATTTTGTAAATTCAAGATTGGCCAAGGTTACGTGATAGGTCGAGGAGAATGAAGTCCAATAAGATCTTTCCCTAATTCTGGCATATGTTGTGCACCATAGTCTCCATCACCGTTATCTATCATCGTTCGAAAGTTGAGTTTATGGGAAACTGAAAAACCATCATTTCCTTCAAGTTGTGTCAAGATTATCACCACTTGCCTGTTGAAAGAATACAAAGCATGATTTTTATATAATGATGTATAAAAATACATTAGCCTTGCAAAGCGATTTACATCCATCAATCACCATCGATTATGATTGAAACTTCATTTTCTCTAATTAAACAAAATCATCATCACTGTCTTCACTGATAATGCATCTGTTTTGTTTTGAGTTGAACTCATGTCACTTGGCGTCGGATTTTAGCGCTAACTGATTTATTAGAACCCAATGGCAGCGGAACACGTTTTATTTTGCGAAATGCTCATCAGGAAAAGTTTGAAAAATTGAGGCTCGGAAATGCCATTTCCTGCGCTTTCTAGAATTGGACGACAAAAACGCTGCACAAAATTGCTTCATAATTCGTTTTGGTCAGTTTGCATGGCTTGGAGGGCTAGAATCGCCAGCAAATTAGCATAGTTGAACTATCTGGTGATGGAAATTTAAAAAAACTGTGACGGGTGCTGAAGCTCACCTCAGTTTAAATTCACTTAAGGAATATTTCACTGACCACGATGTTTAGTGGTAGGTAATTTTGTTCACTTAGGCAGCGATCTCTCATCTTCATTGTCTTACTCTGAAGTTTTATACATCTGGGGTGGCTATGGTCCCTCTAGTCTCCCGTTCTGCCCATGTTAAAAGAGTTAAAACCGGCTAAAGGTTTGATAATGCACGACTACATTTCTCTTTGATCTTGACCCTCAATCATATTCCTATCCCTAACGGGTCTAACCTATTGTGCACGAAACACGAGGATATAACATGGAGGACATGATGATATAACAAAAGATGCCACGTGTTTGCATCATGTGACCAAAGTATTGTATAATGCAGAATATTTGTCCCGCATTACACGAATTATTAATGATATTGCATGTATGCAAATATGAAACAGATTCCAAAAGACGAGCATTTGAGATAGTAAATTTTCGATTCTATCATTTACGTCTCAGTAACTCGTGTTAATTTATAATAATATACTGAATTCTAAAGAGGGCATTTTTCTTCAGAATTTGTTTCATTCTTAAGGTTACAGAACACCTTTGAGTGTTAATTTTGCCTAAAAATTTTTTATTGGTCCTGATGAAAGCATTAGACTAGTTCTACTATCTGACCAGGTTTGGACGAAAATTGTTGAAAACTCGCAGAGTTATTTAATAAAATACATTTCGCTTGCAATAAGAAAAACATTGAAAATGTAATATTCAAATTCAATTTTCTCCCCAAAGAATTTTACGGCAATTACTGATTTTTAAACGAGTTGTGCTCCTGCGGGTTTTAACGAATTTTTCTCAAATTTTCACAGGACAGAGCTAAATACGTCAGTTTCAAAATTGTGTTCGGCTTTGTTCTAATTTTGGATATTTTAATAATAAGGAGCAATTCACACAAACGATTCAGAAATATATTGCAGTCGTCAAAGAAATCGCCATATCAGCGGAATGACGAAATAAACAAAAATTTCCGAACACAATTTTTTAGAACAACTATTTTACTGTATAAAAATGATATTTTCATAAATATATCTTCAAACCAACAGGAACATAATTCAAAAGCGTAAAGGAACCGCGACTTAAGATTTTCCTGAATAATTCTTACATTATTTTATTGTTTGTCAATTTTACAACTTTACCATATTTTGCATGCACTGGCTAACATTTGGTGAAAATTTGATGAAAATCGGACTGATTTTGAGCGCGCAGTAGCGATTTTCCATAAAACGCCAAAAAGGGTGCATGTCCTGTAACCTTAAGTCCTCGAAATTTTTGTCTGACCGTGGTTTTCAGAGAAATTGCCAGATATAGAAATCTTTATATAAAAAGTTATACAGCTGTACATTAAAGTCAGAACTACTATCGAAGTGAACTTTTTTCTAAATATATACATGAACAAAATTTTCTTGCTTACCTGTGACATGGTGGAATAACATCAGTTGTACAAAGCAAACCTCGTGTAGAAACAACATTAAAACTCCCTGCACAATCACAGTTAACCAATAAATGCATATCTTGTCTTCTATTTTCAGCCACGACCAACAGACCAGCCATATCGTGACTTAAGTAATAAATAGTTATACCAGGAATTCCCTAAACAAAGACATAAACGAATTAAAATTCGTATTAAAATTCGTTTATATAATATACGTATTATACTTTTGCATTGTGTTTTGCTCATGCATTGTGAATGAATTTGAGAAGTCAAAGTAGCATTGACAATCATACAAGAGAGGGAGCATGTATTTATTAAGGAAGATACAATACGAGTGATACTAAATAGTTTTAAATACGATTGATAGTAAATTTTATTAATTTTGTAAAATGTAGACTGATCGCATTAGGCAATGCATTTGGCAAAATTTTCAAATTTCAGGAACAAAAAATGACTTGTATCCGGCTGAATCACTCCTATTCTCCACAATATGCATTTGTTTCCATCTGTTGGCGTAAAATCTGATAGATTTGCCGGTCTGACCGTAAATGGGAGTGTCCCAGCTCCTACCTAGACTAAGTCAGATCCAGTTTGAGCCATGTTAAGACGTGCTTAAATACAACAAGTGAATTAAGGTGTGATGTATTGCTTAGATCGCGAGGAGAGTCATTGTCTTTCACAGACGTTTACAAAATTCTGCAAGATATGCCATGCGGGTTTCCCGACTCCCCCCCCCCCTCCCTCCCTCCAGAGACTCGTCGACGTCTGTGTCGCTCCATAGTCCAAACTGAAATCAAAATACCAGGCATATTTATATTTCAGCCATGTTTTCCGCCATAATTGGCTTAGAAAACGATTCAAAAATATTTAGCACTGGCTTTCGTACCGTATGACTTTTCCCATTTTTAATTGTCATCCACGTGATTGCGTCAGCCAATAAGAACTCTGTCATTGGCAGTTGTTCAATCATAACTGCTCTTGAACTGTGCACTGCTAAGACATAACTTGGATATGCTGTCCCAGTTTGTTTCCCTCCACCAGATCGCCAGTGACTGAAGGATGTAACAACTATAAGGTGGAAAACACGTTTCAAATATCTTCAAAAGCTAAACTATTCAGGTTTCAATAATGGGTTAAATAATACTACAACAAGTGATTGACGATCACAAATTAGAGATGCAATCTAAAACCCTAGTTTGAAATTAAAACCATTTAAATATTTTGGATTTAAAAAATAATTATGAATTAGAGAATTAGATAGCCATAACTTAGCGACTAAAGCTTTCTTCACTACTTTCAAATTCATTTACAAACTTCGCATGCATAACAAGACACTGACACAAACCTGCAACATAAACACCTTCTTCAACAATGACACTAAATGAGACACTTCCTTTCACAGTCCGTTTACTGTTACTGATTATTGAGATTAGTTCTGGACGTGACGTATTTGGCATGGATCGAAACAGGATTATACACAAGTCTACCAACGACTGGGGAGATGAAGGATTTCTACAGATGATGAACAAAACTGTTGTCAACATGACAAAATAAAATACTATATGAATAAGACCCTTCAGGAGAGCACGCTGCGTGTTAGCAAACACATGAAAATAAATAACTAATCAACAAAATAATGTCACAATAAAAATAAAAACGTCAAAACAACAGGATTTGTTATATAGGGTGAGCACCAAACGTGATTGGCTGATTTGTGTTCACGTGACTTTAGATAAATGCAATGTATCCCGCCGGGTAGACTTGGTTCAAGTCCGTCTCAGGAGAAAAGTAGGGAAAGCAAGTGAAAAATTGTTGCCCGCCAGACCGGCTACGTACATAAATAAACAAAATGGCGGCACAACTCGCAAGATTATAAACTACGATTTTCCACGTTTGTGTTAAAATAAAGAATGTAAATATGAAGAAAAATACACAACAGGCAATAGGATATGCTGCTAAAACCGTTTAAGTAGGTTATTTTTTAAAATAAAAAATAACAAAAATAATAAAATTAAAATTTTATACTTGTTGTATGAATGTTGTTCATTTTCTATCGTCGTTGACTCGTTATATTGTATATAACAAAGTACTTTATGTCAGTTCCCTTGGGAAATAGGTTTAGGTTAGGTTTGTTTCCATTCCAATCTCAATGTTTAATTAAAATGTTTAATTATTATTTAATGTTTAATTATTTAATCTTAATGTTTAATTTAAACATAGTTAGAAAATTGCCTAATTAGAAAATTGGGGCTTTCTCGAGGTATGAACAACTGATTGTAGTACCGGTTAATTAATACTTTACATTATACCCATGATTTCATTTGTTCATACTCTTAGGAAGTACTGAATATAGTCATGTTTAATGTTATTGTTGTGTCTATAGAGTTTAGGAGGACCAGATTGGAAAAAAGTTGTAACTTTATCTGTTTATATCCTCAATAAATAAAGTGTTATTATTAATGTTTCCCTCGACTTCGTCTTGGAAAACATTGAGATTCCCAGGAAATCAAAATCTTTCGGGAGCAGACATTAAAGCCCCGTTTACACTACGCTCAATTTTTGGTACGGCACGGATAAAATTGGTACCCGTACCACTTTTTTTGGTTCTAGGACTACCTATTTAGGTAGTCCAAGAACGAAAAAGTAGTACGGTACCAAAAATTGAGCGTAGTGTAAACGGGGCTTAGCGGCTAAATAGGTAGTCCAAGAACCAAAAAAGTGGTACGGGTACCAATTTTATCAGTGCCGTACCAAAAATTGAGCGCAGTGTAAACTGTCTCTTATTATTTTGAATTGTTACTAATACTTTCTCGTTATGAGAATACTTCTGTAACTTTGGAAACTCTCTATAGAGGAAAGTCTTTCGCTCGAAGTCGAGAAGTATTCTTAACCTTTTTCAAGCTGGCAAGTATATACTATTGTCTAAGAAATGTCCTAAATCTACATCGCGACGAAGTTAAAACCCGAAGTTTCAAGAAAAATATTTTTTCCAAAAAATATGACTAACCTGGCAGTTTTTTGATAAACACAAAGATCCAGCTGAGTTGGTGAAAATACTGCCATTGAAACAACTTCACTAGGACCTCCTGCAAATGGTGGTAAGAAACTCGCTATTCTCGCCTCAGTCCAATCATCACGGATTTTACACACATCTACACAGTCAAAGTATCTGAATAAAACAATGCAATGAATTACAACAAGGGTAGCTTTAATAAGCAAATTACTCATATCAGATCATGTAATGTCTACATTATTGTATCACTCTTCGCGTCTAAATGCATTTATATTTCGATATTATTGTATCACTCTTCGTCTAAATGCATTTATATTTCGATATTATTGTATCACTCTTCGTCTAAATGCATTTATATTTCGATATATTATTGTATCACTCTTCGTCTAAATGCACTTATATTTGGACATTATTGTATCACTCTTCGTCTAAATGCATTTATATTTCGACATTATTGTATCACTCTTCGTCTAAATGCATTTATATTTCGATATTATTGTATCACTCTTCGTCTAAATGCATTTATATTTGGAAATTAATATAGATTAATATGTCTTCTAATACTCCCTATCTCACGTAGATTTGATTCGAACGTCTTGAGGTTTTCTTAAATTAACTAATTAATTAAGCCGTTCATTTTAATCAGATTCGGTTCAATGCACAATTTCAGCATTGGTTATTATCAGAAGACTTTACACGGTACATATGACTACATGAATTATGAATGCGTATATATAAATTATCTATCTTCAAATCTAAAAATAGACTGATAACATTAACATTAATAATGAAACTGTTCTTTGAACACTTACTGCATCATGTCTTCAAAAGAGATCCAAAACAGTCCTTCATCAGCACCGTGAGGCATCAACTCTTCACGTAGTTCTGCTGTCCATAATGGCGACATATCAGACCAATTTCCTTTCCAAGAAAATCGTCCCCATGGATTTCGAAGGCGAAGAAGCCTTTATAAAAAGAAATTGAATTTTTAACATGGTTATTAATACTTTCAAAGCTTTTGTTTCATGATGATGGAACCTTAACTCCCATTTAAAATGAATTATACTATTGTATTTAATGAGTACTGGAGTACAGGTGCAACAAATATTTAATTCGGGTTTTCAGAAATATGGAAACCTTAAAATAATGTTACTGTACTATATATTACGAACATTCATGTGGATTAAAGATAAAAATAGCTGAACAGGACATTTTGAACTGTCTATACCAGTGTAGGTATTAGGTAGTGCCAATAATAACAAGCTTTCGTTGATTGAGATGCAACTACCTGAAACATATAAGGAGAATTTCGACGTTTCGAGCGAAGGCCAGGAAGTAAACCTACAGCTGACGTTACTAACTTTTCGACGAAGGGCCTTCGCTCGAAACTCCGAAGTTCCCCGGCCTTGTCAGGTAGTTGCATCCCTATCAATCCGAAGCTTTCCAATTGTAATATATGTAGCTTATGACATACTTGTTTCCCTGCACGTTTCTTATATCAAGTATTGAATACGCATGACGTGATTGTAGACCCACACGGGTATAAATATGATCATCAGCGTCCTCGGAGTTCCCACCACATGATGCTCCCATCAAATACCTGAAAAAATGTTTATCAGTTATATACTGTATTTTTCAGTTTATATAGTTTTCAGATTCACAGAAAATGTTCATGCAATTTGTCTTTTGACTATTTCTTTCTTGCGTTTAGTAGGAGGCCTTTTGGAAGAAGTGAACGGCTATCTCTCCTTGGGAAGGCCCGAGTGCGTCCCGTGACGATTTTAAAATTTGACCCACTGCAACGGCAAGCGGCAATGACCTCATTAACCGACTATTCATTAAATTGAAATCTCAGTTTTGGATCTATTCATCGACGCAATCCATCAGACATTTATGAATCCATGAAATATCGAACATGCAATTTACAACGACGAATCGACAAGCCGTTTCGAGGGTGAATGACTGTAAACGCACAGTTGGAGGTTTCACTACCAGATTTTGCTTGCTTGTCCGCCTCGATTCCAAACTAATGTCTCTTGTGCACTCAAGCAAATTCGGGAAGTGTCTGTTCATGAGAACGTGCTGATGTCTCGATCCGACTGTACTGGGCAAGGATTATGTTCACACCATTTAGTTCTGCTTTGCCATTTTATAGTATAACACTATAACTTACCCAGCATTTCTGCAACTGAGTAACTTCGCCCAGACCAAACCTTTATCTATAACATCTTCATTGCTAGGATTTGTTGACGACACTGAAATTATGGTAATATCTTCATTGCGCACGAATATATCACTATTTGATTTTGCCCCAAACCCACCCCTAAGGCCAAATAAAAATAATAGTTGGTTTCAGGTTTCACAGCCATGTTTTATATGGGTGGGTAGGTAGGTCGGAAAAATATTTTATTCTAAAAAAAATTTTATCTCAAGATGCAATAAATATAAGTTAAAACTCTGAGTGTATATCCACACCGGGCGAGTTTGAAAAATATGCCCGGCCACGGTGGGAATCGAACCTACGACCTTTGGAATACTAGCCCAATGCTCTGCCAACTGAGCTACGCGATCAGGACGGTTCGAGTAAGTGATATTTTGGAACAGAATCTAGTTCCTTCGATACCAATGTAATCTGGTAATATGATTTTTTCTGTGTTGGTGTTGTGTACTCAGGTGAATATGATGTTTGTGATGTTACTCTGAGTGTATATCCACACCGGGCGAGCTTGAAAAATATGCCCAGCCACGGTGGGAATCGAACCTACGACCTTTGGAATACTAGCCCAATGCTCTGCCAACTGAGCTGCGCGGTCAGGACCGTTCGAGTAAGTGATATTTCGGAACAGAATCTAGTTCCTTCGATACCAATGTAATCTAGTAATATGATTTTTTCTGTGTTGGTGTTGTGTACTCAGGTGAATATGATGTTTGTGATGTTACTCGAACCGTCCTGACCGCGTAGCTCAGTTGGCAGAGCATTGGGCTAGTATTCCAAGTCGTAGGTTCGATTCCCACCGTGGCCGGGCATATTTTTCAAGCTCGCCCGGTGTGGATATACACTCAGGGTAACATCACAAACATCATATTCACCTGAGTACACAACACCAACACAGAAAAAAGTTAAAACTCATTGTCAAGTCAAGCGTTTCTCGCGCCATCATTGTTTATGAGTAACTGTCACGCGTGATCAAACGCGCCACGCGGGAGACCGCGAGCTACATGTGTTTCGCGAGAAACAAACGCATCAAGGCGTTTTCGTCTTTTTTCAGCCGTAGCTGCCATGTCAGAATAATGTACGTTTTTAATATTTTATTCAACTGTTCTTTGTGTAAAACTATGATTAACATGACTAGATAATGATTAAATTATAAGCAAACAAAATAATTTGTAGACAAATGAGTGTGATGACCATTTATATATTCTGCTATTTACGAAAAGATGATCTCTACTGGGAAATGTCAATAACATGTTTATGGTCGGTCATATATTTTTGAAAGGTCGGTCGGAAACTTGAAACCAACTATTATTTTTATTTGGCCTAACGTTAATCCTAACCCAAAGACCCTACTCTAACTTGATTGAGCGCGTAAGTATACTATTGCAAATTCATGCTGTAATTTGTGTGGCTACTCTACTTGCTATCTATTCATCGATAGATAACGAGTAGCCAAACTATCATTTCCCTGGCGCTTTTTTTTTTAAATGGCAATATTTTATGGAATATTGTGGAATATTTTATGTTTGATCTCTGATTCTACTAAAATAATTAGATTACTCGCTCTCGATTTCTATGAGAATTTCCCGAAATCTCAAGCTCGTAATCTAATTGTTAATTAGGATTAATTTGTGCACCTTTACGCCGAACCGGAAGGTGATATATTTTCAAAACAACATAGCTAAACCTGGTCATGCAAGTGATCCTGCCTGGATCATCCTCGTTCCCAGCCTTTTCTCTCCTGTGGCAAGTGACGTCATTTCAAAACTATGTACATGCGTACAGTATATCCTCTGTCAATTACCAACGTCTGTAAACGTGCACAAAACGTTTAAATGTGTATCATATCCTTGTAAATTTTTGTTGTTAAATTTTTGTTTGCAAAATCTACGTAAATCTACACATTTTCTCTGTAAAACACCAGTGTGGGAATAATCTGTAAAATCTATATATTTTTTCAGTTTTTCCAGTGAAGAAATGTACGATACCTTGCAATCGTATAGTTTCACATGGAGCACCAGTTAATGTAGATAATCCCTCTATGGCTCTTCCAGCGACTAATGCTTCATAACAACCATGTAACTTCGCCATTGCCTTCTCAATAAGAGGTATCCACAGCTGACGACGAGCAGCCTGTACATTAAATACGTTATTACTGATGAAATTTATTTATTTAACTGTTTTCCCATGGCATAATAGTAAGAACGTTAGGTCCAACATTGAATGGACAGGGAACGAAATATTTTTCGTTTATCCATTACAAATTTTAAAATTGTTTTTACTACTGCCTCCGTATAGTCTATACATACGTTTTCTCCAATATAGTCAGAATGCATAAGTACTGTAGTACACCTTAGTTTTACAATATCTCTGTACAAATTCTCTATGCCCTTTATTGTATATTTGACTGATATTACATGAAATCAATAAGTGAAGTTAACAATTACCTGTGAATAAACAGGCATGCCATATTCATTACAAGGAATAAAATCATCAACGAGAATGATAGTCCATCTTCCGTCTTTACATAACCTGATCTGATAAGCACCTTCATCGCATATCTTAAATGAAGATCACGAGGTGAAAAGCATCAAATTTAGTCATGAAATGTAACTATTTAACAGTTACTGCAATTAGCCTTCATGTGGTTGTGGATACTCATCTACATATGCACTGTATCCAAACTCAAACTGCCAACTTTGCCTATTGGAAGAAATCGGAGTACCCAGAGAAAACCCATGACTTTCGGCAGGACATTCACTAAAAGCCGCCCGCATTCCAGTTAAGCGTTTTTCATACGTATGCATACGCACGGAAAAGTTTAAATGTTTGTAAATTTTATATACAGGTAATTAAAACTCCACAAATACACAAATCATACACAAAGGCACAGTAAATAGTGTTTTTTATTCACTTAGTTATTTCATAGGTAATGTTGAAAACGACTTCAACTTTTTCGTGCGTGCATGTACGCGTAGGCATAGAGATTATAAATAACACTGGAGGAGGCATCGAGTTTAAAAATTGGGAACGCAGCTAATGGGGGGCAAATTCAAGTCCTGGATATAAAATCGTGCTCTCATTGGCTGATTTGAAACTCGTCACCAATGGGAACACGAATACACATCCGGGATTTGAATTTGCCCCCCCCCCCCAATAGTCGCGTTCCTTTTTTTACTGAATTAAGATTACAATGCCTCCTCTAGTGTTATTTATAATCTCTATGCGCGTAGGTATGAAAAAGGCGTAACTGGAATGCAGCTCTAAATCTTTCCACATTAGTCACCAGTGTCTTGCATGGGTTCGAACCCACGCATGTTCGCTCGTTGATAGGATTTAGTTGACAGGATACTAAGGATAGTACTGTAAATATTAAGTGTGCTTACTTTTCTTGTAACGATTATCTTTTCTAAGAGACTTGGTCGTTCTGTGAGAACAGCTAAAGCGCTCAGTAGCCTATAAAACACACATAACTATTGAGAAACATTTTACTGCGTCTATTTCTACGTTATTCCTACATTGATCACGTGTTTCACGTAACGCTTCATGTACCCACCGTATCTGCATCACTTCAATTAAATATTTTAATTAGAGGGCAATTACTCAATAAAACACAAAATTGGACCGACGAATATTTTGAGCTCCAATACTTCTGCAGGTTGGCAACCGTCCTTCCCCTCATGCATACACAAAAAAACAATAGAAATGACGTCTCCAGTTGTGTACGTATACTTACTTATTTATTTATTTATTACAAAAGTGCTATAAAATATATAACAATGATTGAAGGTATGGTCAACAAGACATGAGTCCCATGTGAAGACAAACCTGACACAAAACAACAAGTAGACATGCATTAAAGACAAGGACTAGTATTTAGTAATACAAAACTGTATATGAGCAACAGCTTAAGTTGAGCAACATGAGCTTAAGTTGAAAGAACGGAATACCGTAGATAAGAGGGTCTCCAAGGAGGGGTCTGTGTTCCCTTGGAAATTTTTCCTTTGTTCCCTTGTCCCCCCCAAAGATTTCACCATGTTTTCTTATTCCCCCAGCTTATATGTTCCCTATGGTTTTTTGGCTTTGTTCCAGTGGTTCCCTTGTTTCCTAGAAACCCCTGGGAGACACTCATATAGGCACAAAAACAACTTTCACACCAGAAACTTCATTGCTTTGCAAGTACTTTGCAAGTACTAACATTTTCATTCATTGCTTTGCAAGTACAACTACACAAACGTTTTTTTTAATTAACCTTAGAGCCAAAAGTACATACCAGCAATCGCCTAAAACACCTTGCATGATATCTGACGGACTTGGATTACGGAAAACCTCCCATGGCAGTTGTGATTGAGATGTTATTTGTTGAGGTCTTAACCATCGAGCTACACGAGGGTGTGTTGATGATCGTGGTGTAAAGTACAGAGAGCTGGGATCTGGGGGAAATGAATCATCCACAAATGACATGTTGTGCTACAGAATGAAGAAACAAGGACAAACATATATTTCGGCCATATTTATTTATTACTTTCAATTCACGTTTATAAAGGACAAAACTAATATCACAGTTTTGCCTGAGGTCAATAACGGGTAATTGTGTAGCATCTGGGAAGACGCCCTTCCCTTGAAAATGCGGAGGGAGAGGGTTTTCTAAATTGCATTCTGGTGACGTAAGATGCACAAGGTATTTACTATCGCTTTTTAGTGGTGTAACTCTACTTAGGGAACAGTTTTCCATTCCTTGTTTTAATAAAAAGTTTACATTCCAAGGAAAAAACTACTTAGAATAGTATGTGGGAGGAATTACCGAATTAGCCTTTCCATGATGGCGAAGATATCCCCCATTTTTGGGTGGCATCCAATTCTCGTCAACCAATGTAGAATTAAAACAATGTGAAAAGCAATTTCTCAAAATAAACTAACCATTTATAAAGCAAATTTACCATCATTCGTCCAAAAAATTATAAAAAGTCACTGTTATGTGAACTTATCTCGCAGACTTCGGTTGAAATGCCACCCAAAAATGGCAGTGAGAGAAAGGCTAATTGGATAATCATTTTCAGATTAGTATTTACCTTCAGGAATATATCAACCAGCATACAGTACATTAACATTTCTTTAGTTTACAGTACAATATTGATCATTTTTCACTATATACCATACTGTTCTCAAAACAATGATTTGTTGAACATTTACCTGTGAACAAATCTCCACAATGTTTTTCCACTGCTCCTTGGCTCGATTTTCATCATGGATCCTCTTAGCTTCAACTCCAACAGTTTCGCATGTCTTGTGTGTTGGTGAATTAGGCACACTCAATCTCTCTGCATTCCTAGTCCAGCTTACATCACCTTCACTTGTATTACATGCATTGCAGAATTTGATTGAGGATGAGTTTGTCAAAGTGCAAACAGGGCACACCCATGTGTTGTCTAGTTACAAGAATAAATTAAACTAAGTTATTTTCTGAAATTTCAAAAATTTCCAACTTGCATGTATATTTATTATCATGTTTAAGCTCAAACTGAATAGTCTAGGACCTGTATAGGAGTTTGTATGCATTTCATTTAGCACAGGCAATCTCAACTGTTTTAGGGTAAAATGACCATGGCGGTCAACGTGGCATATGTGCCAAAACCTGCATCTGGGACGATTTAAGGTCCTGAAAATGAACCTGCCCTGAAACGGCAGTGCTGACATAGCTCTAACTTCTGAAAAGCAACAGCCTTTCTGAAGTGCTTATAGTGTTTAGAAGGGTTGCTTTTAGGGGTGGTTATTGGAAAGAAACATTTGTCTAACTCAGTCTAAGTATAATATTTTACAAGAAAATGACCATGCACCCCTGCACCCCTGGTCAACTGCAAATTATGCATAAAATAACTACTGTAGTATACCTGGCAGAAATTAAATTTCCTTATTTCCTAAAAACATTTATCATGGGATGAAAAACTATGCTTAATTTAATATAACTATTGTAGATTTCATAAGGATTGTCATTGTTTTCTATAACTATAGTACATTTTATTTCACTTGCCGTTTCAGGGCGGGGTCATTTTCAGGACTTTCGTCCCGGATTCAGGTTTTGGCATATATGCCATGTTGACCGCCATGGTCATTTTACCCTAAAACAGTTGAGATTGCCTGTGCTAAATGAGATGCAAACAAACTCCTATACAGGTCCTAGACAAGAAAGAAAAACTGATGTAGCCAGCTGCTGTTGAATAAAACAGACACATACTATTTTGTTATATACTGTACCATAAAAATTAAACCCATGCAGGTACTTAATTATTGCATCTAGAATTGGGAGATGTCAGAGGATTTTACCTGAAATTTGAATTTCAGTAATAAAATTTTACCCGATTGTGTAATAATAGTAATAGACATTTTCTGATGATTATTGAGTAACAGGGGGCTCTGGGCATCATCCCCCAGAACATTATTATTATTTTTGGCAAACAATTGAATTCTGTCAAGCTTATCCAATCTATATGCTATGGATGGATAATTTAACTAACCCGATCGGGGCAGTTTTTCGATAGGTTTATCCCTATCACCTTTCTTACTTCCACATGCCCGACATATTGTTTGATTAGGATCATTTAACAAAGTACATGACACACATTTCCACACACCAGACGAACTTGGATGATCTTCAGGTTTAACCTTCGGTAGAGAAGATTGCGGAAATGGTCGAGGTTTAAATCCTTCAGTCATGCAGGGAGTTCCACACACCATACAATGAGTACCAGTATTATCATACAACAACGTTTGACATTTGTGACATTTTAAGACATCATTTTGAGATTCCCCTAAACGACTTGGATCAACTTCAATAGCAACAGGGTCTTTTAGTTTCACAGGTTGATTGTTTGATAGTTTATCAGATTTGCAAACAAGACACTTAGTTGAATCTGAAAAATTGACAAAACTACACTTTGGACAAGGCCAATCCGTCTTTTTTGTTTTAAAAGTATTTTGCTCTGAACCACAAGAATTACACAGCACAATATGGACGGGATTACTGGCTCCACAACTACAACATATCCATAGTTTTGCATCTCTGTCAGCTCCACATATTTCACAATGTGAACTAGTTGTGAAAGAGTTCATATACGTACAACGTACACATTGCCATGTGCGCGGGAATGAATCCGTTATCCCCATATCTAAAAAATATTATCTCCTTTGACTCCTTATACGGACGGTATATCATAAAATCATCGATCTGGTGTAACTTTTTGACTTTTACATTTTCTATTTTTTCTTTTCAGTGGTTGTGGAAAAATCAAATCACAACAAAAACATGAGCCCACGAATAATCTTCTCTGATCTCGAACGTACTTTATGTAGCCATATATGAAATAGACATTAACATCAACCTTTATACATGGGCGGCGCTATTTCTTTTCCCAAAATTGTTGGCGAGCACGGGGAGGGATGTTAGCGGCTCAACATCAAAAAAATTTCGGGCAACATATTTGTCACCTTTTTCTCTAATGTTTTCGTAAATTTCTCCACATTTTAGCTATCATTCTTAATTTTTAATCGGTATCCAAATCCATGTTTTGCCGACTGGGAATCAATATTTTACAGACTACCTGACGACTGCATACATAAAGTAGCTACTCTGATCTCTGACCCTAACCCTATGTCCATATCCCTAATCGCTGAACCATTTTGGGATACAGTGTTCAGTCAGGTACATTAGTAACTCATAGAGCGAGAAAATAATCCATAGTACCTCAATTTCGTACCCCGACACCCCGAGACACATCACTTCATAACAATTCATAACTGCCTTTATTCACCGGAATGCTGCGACACACCCGCCACCCAGTGCATATTTTACATTGGGAGGCGGGGTGGGGCAAAACAAAGATAAGCGCCCCAGTTCACCAGAGTAAGATTTAGGTAACTTAGGATAAGTTTAGGGCCCAGTCTGACCCACTAACTAGTGGGGCCTGCGGGGCCAAATGCCCACCCCCAGTATATATGTTAAAATATGCCCCGGACGAAACATATCTACACAATTCCTGGGGACTGGAGTTAACTCCTACCAAGCGAACGTTTTTAAGGCTATTTTATATTATGGTACCTTTCTGAGTCTTTCTCGAGGGGAGCGAATCAGTTTGAACATGCATTATCCAGCCGCTCAACGTGGCTATTAATTCTGGCTACAGAGAAAAACGCCTTTCAAAAAACTCACTTGTAGAGCTCTCAGAAAATGATAAAAATTCATTTCGTCACATACGAACTATGACTATCCTCATTATTTTCTTCCAAACATTAACTTTACTAATGGTTTTTTCTTATTAAAAAACCATTAACGTTACTACTTTATAAGGTGTTGCATGTTACACGGTGACGCCAGCTACGAGTTTCATCTTGTCATACATTCCACATGCCTTTGTCATCTAGTGGTTGATGTTCATCAATAATTAATAAGTAACTGTCTTTGACTATGTTGTATGATTGTTGATGAAAGAATATATTGGAAAGTACAGCTGAATATTCGCACAGAGCAAATAGACTATAGACTGTAAGATGAATGTTAAGGATTACACGACTTTATTTATTTTAATTCATTTTCGATCTTACAGTAATACACTGAAATTTAGCTGGGTTTCACCATGGACAATCGAGAGGAATTGTCTATCGTCTATGGTTTCACTAAGCACTATTGTGAAGCAGATGGTGGTCAAGCAGCAGCTATCGTTGTGAGGAAATGTTCAATTCTTTTCATTATAATCTGATACAAATAAATAAAGATGGACTGTAATAATCTGTTTCCGAATTACGGTCATGCATATAATTTACGACTTTGCAAATAGTTTAGGACGAAGCACCTTGACTTGGCGTTAAATTATGTTCTTGAAAACTGAAGCTCTCCCCCCCCCCACCAAAGGTTGATCACGACATTTGTTGCTCCGTACGCTTACTAACCCTAAATGTTAAAACCATGAGGCGCAATGGTATGCTTCTTGTCGGACGATTTAGGTTTTGGGTGGATGATAAGTGACAGGAAAATATAAACCAAAGTAGAAAATATTTCGCCTTGCTTTATTTATAGTGTTCAATATCCTACAATCTACACGTAGTCTAATTGGTTTTAATTACAATATTACTATATCGTCTTATTTTCTGTAGTTATTTTATGGATTGAAATTAGTTATATACATGTACAGGCTACACAACTTTAACTAGAATGCACGTGCCCGATAATAAAATATAGTCCTTTCAGATCATCTATTGCAGTGGAATGAAACCAAATGTTCGTCACAACAGTTACATATTCACATAGAGAAAAATAACTGTAAACTTTTTCCAATTTAGTAGAGAAAACAAGTTAAGGAGTCTACTGTTATAGTATAATTAGAATAGTGTAAATTTCATGCAGCACACGATGATTGGCGTGCTAATCATCCTTACACGAAGCTGAGAGCTACAGTAAGCCGGCATTACGAATGATGCAGATGCAGGCTGAACGAGTCGAAGGCTTTCAAAGGGCGCCCCTGGCAGCCACATGGTGACTCGTGTTTGATCGCAGAGTACAAGCACGAGTTGCACAGCTGCGGTGGACGGGAGCATATCCGAACCCAACCTGTCAACATGTGGGAGGAAACCGGAGTACCCGGAGAAGACTTCGGTAGAGCGTTGACTTTCACAAAAGTGTCAAGAGTCAGCAGCGCAAATCCAACCCACGATCTCAGAGCTGAAAGGCACTTGCTCAGTTGCTCTGACGATTGCACCACCGAAGCCCCAAACATGTCATGTCTGCAAACATGCTGCGTACACTGTACATCAATCTATAATAATGCTGTAGTTGTGCAAAAACAAATTGCTTACAACCAACATAAATTTCCTCAAAACCGGTTTGGGCCGAACTTATTTAAAGAAAAATCTGGCAAGGAGTGATGAGAAATAGATGCCTTGCAGAAACACCGCAAACATAACAGTCCATTTAGAGACTGAAATCACCACTGCATGTTCACAAAAAGGAACAATACTGAGAACTTATGTGAGGGTGTGAAACGAGAAAAATTTCGGAAGAAATAGAGAAGTGCTGGACTTAAAATTTAGAGTTAACTACCATTTAACTACGCAATAATATAGTTAAAAAGTTGTTAAAAGTTTTATATACAACCGGCTCCTGTAAAATAAAATTGCTATAAAATTTCTTATTAGTTTTCTTTGATTACCCGCGTTGTTGAAGGGATTTCTTCTTCATATTTGCACACACATGCATGGCGTCCATGGAAAATTATCAAATCATAAAAAAGGATACTTCCAGGTTCACAGTACCAGTTATGACGAAAATAAAAATAAACAGCAAGTGCAAATGAACTATAGTTGGTGATCATTAGATAGATTTTTCTTTTAAATGACTGTTCTTCCTATGAATCAAGAAAATAAAAGAACATTAGCAAACAAAATTTAAATAACTGCAGCTGTACAATCAATTATGAAATTTTACCAATTCATAAAAAATTGCTCATATCATAAGCTTCAAATACGTAATATGGCTATGTGTTGAGGAGGTTGAAAGACGAAACTAATGCATGCATGTATATTCGCATATTGCCATTTTCAGGCACAGCAATTTGAGCAATAAGATGATGATAAGCGAACTGTGAACAATTACAATTCAAATACAGTATGTTGATGGGCGGGCGGCGCACATGGCCGACACAACTCGGCACCAGAGCTGGCAGAGCACCCCCCTCCCCCCAACCAGATCATGCTGGATCCATGCCTGGCCATTTTAATTTATTTAATTATTATTTTTTTAAAACTACCTGTAGAAGGGTATGCCTGTGGTAGAGAGCATTTCAAGGAATTTTCCAAACTATAGCAACAACTGAATGTGTTTACAGATACTGAAAGACAAAATTATAGCATCTTACTTCGTTTGTCATTGGTTTGTTTGACGTCCATTTGAATAATATACATGTTGTAAGCATGTAACACATAGAACACACCATAAATGTTATAAATGCATTTTCATGGATTCCTATTTGAAAGTAACAATATCACACATGTAAGACACAGTTTGATAACAGTATGATAACACAAATTCCTGAAATTGTATTTAGCTCCCCAGAGCTTAAAGGTTATCTAATTTGAGCACACCTGCTATCAGCCAGCCTACGGCTACGAGGATATACACGTTATAAGCTACAACTATAAGAGCTTCAGGCCCGTTTTATACGTCGAATTTTGGTCGCGTCGAATGCAAGTAAGACAATAGATAATGAGATGATAAACCTCATTAAGCTTCATTATCTATTGTTTGAATTGCATTCGATGCAACCGAAATTCGACGTATAAAACAGGCCCAAGTCACTAGAAGACACAAACCATCTCGTTTGTAGGGGGCATGGATATATTACATGAAATATTTTTCACATAAGCCTTCTAAGTTCTGGACACAAAAGTATAATTTTGGGAATAGTGTTTAACGTTGTGTTGGGAAAGAAACCCCAGATGCGCAGTAGCTTGCCACGGGTCCCCCTGCGAGGGATTTTAAGGGGTGCAACAGGTTTTAGGGGTGCCTGAAACCAAAACTGTTCAATTCTACTTAAAAATCGACCAAATGAGTAAAGGAAAGAGCAGAGCGCATTAAATTGTCTTAATTAAAGGACGTTCCGAATTTTTTTTGCGCACCCTCCACATCCTCCCCCCCGCCCCGTCGACACAGATGGGTGTATTATTGTACAGTAATTATAATTTTCAACACATACCAAAATTTTCTCTTGATGATACATAAGTAAGAACCAGCAAAGCAAGATTCTCAGAAATTGTTAGCAACGTATTAAGTCCATTCAAAATTCTAAATTTAGTTGACAGTGGGTCTTTTGACTTGATTGTATAGTAGTTGTAATAAAGAAATGAGACAATCAGTCGTGGAAAACAATGAAGTGCAATGCATATCCTCCATATATAAGCTTGTGGCTTGAAATCTCCTATTGATGTGCTAATAGATGGTATATAATTGGGAACCTAAAAACAAAGGAACATTTTTTAGTAAAAATATAAATAATGTACGCATGATGTTGCATGATTCAGGTTCCCAATAGAAGCCGGCACCCAGCGATCTATAACCTAGACAAAAGACATTTCTCGAAATTACAAACCAACATATTTCCTCTTTACCGCAGGAATGTCAAGGGTAAGGTTTCTTTCTTTTCTAACATAACAATACTCTTTGTTCAATATTTGGAAAAAATGACAAAATCTCCAAAACTTCTCCAAATTAATGGTTGGAAGGCCATTTCAGAAGGTTTAAATTTCAGAATCTTCACAGAGAAACGCACTCGGAGACCTTCGCACTTCGGCGTCTCAGATTATAGCCATGGCGAGGAGTGAAGTTTGAGCTGAAGTTGTTGATGGTGGCGGCTACTGCTGGGAGAATGTATGAGAGAATGGTGTTGTTTTTAAACTTTGCATGTTGTTAGTAGTGTAGTGCAATGGAATAAATCGGCTATCGTTAAACTTTATTGTTTAATTAACGCATTTCTCAAACAAATGCATGCTACAGAATACCGGGGAAAATAATCGTTGCTACAAGGCTCCAATCGTATTTTGAACGTACAAAATATTGCGATATTTAGTTGACCAAATGTTTCATTAAAGCCAAGAAATATATTAGATCATAAATGTGCACTTTAACCGCCGGCACCCCCCGGAAGTTTACTCTCTGCCTGTATGCATGAATAGATACTTGAACGGGCATACTCTGGGAACGAGATTGTATAGATGTATGAATACATGACACGTCTCAACTTGCCGCACACAGCAATACTGTATAAGATTTATATCCAAGGTGTTTTGTTTCTAATTTTTTCCAGAAATTCACGTTATTTTTGTTGTTTCAACATAGACAGCCCAAATATACGTGTCAAAATGCACCAAATGCCAATTTATAAATAAGCTCGGCCCATTCCTCTGAAATTTGTCGAGCGCCGCAAGGACTCGATGAAAAGCATTGTATACTGTAGGTTTTCCCGGTACGAGACGGAATCATCCCGATGGCAGACCGTATATTGCGATTATAGCACCTTTGCACAATGCATGGAATCTATACATGTGGTCTATGATATGACATAGATGTTCGATACAGGTTTTACAATTTCTCCCGAATCACGGCAGAGGCTGAGATCTCGGGCAAATGACATATTTTACAAGATACAGTTACAAAATTAACAAAAGTGTTTTGATGGGTTTGCCTCTTTTTCACTCGTGTACAACCACACGCGGGATGCGACATGTAAACAAAAGGCGCGCAATGCATTGTTTATTGTCCCCTTTACAGGTAAACTACATGAAGCGTTCCTCTTTTGAGTTTCTAAATTGATTGCAATTTTCCTCATTGCTTTTGCAATTTAAAAAACTCCCTTGCAAATCCCTTGAAGGAATTTGCAATGTTGCTAAAAGCCAATTAAATTTTCCTCAGTTCCTGTTGGAAGTTCTTAACTTCCTGTTACAAGTTCCTAACTTCCTGTTCTGTTCTGGTTGTTGCAATTGGCTAACAAAAATAATCGACCAATAACAACGCTCAGAACAGAACAGGAAGTTAGGAAATTAAAACAGGAAGTTAGGAAAATTTAAAATGAAGTTTGTTTGTATTGGAATATTGCAACAGTCGATATACCCTGGATTCCAGAGCCTTCGACAGTAAATAATAAATTGAAATGTCGCGAAGGCTCTGGTTCAACGGGGCGATTCTTTGATTAAACCGCGCCAATCACAAAACAGAATTAGTGGTTTTAGTACAAATTCTGTACTACTGCGGATTCAGGTAGACCGTTTAATGCGAATAGTTGTCGCGTTAGTTTTAACAGTTGTATGATGACGTTTCTAGGCAGATTTTCGACGTTTCTAAGGCGTGGCTTCAACGTTTATTTTTAAAATTTGAACGTTGTAATTTCAAGGTAGTTGCTAAATAGTATACTTCAAAATAAGGTTTCCGTTTTTAAAACGTAGAAAAAATCATCCTAACGCAAAACTAAACCCTAACCTAACCCTAGCTTATTTAAAAAATTGATATAAAAACGGAAACCTTATTTTGAAGTACTACTTAGCAATTACCTTGTAATTACAACGTTCAAATTTTAAAAATAAACGTTCAAGCCACGCCTTAGAAACGTCGAAAATCTGCCTAGAAACGTCATCGTACAACGGCATAGTACAAAACATGGACTGGACTGGACAGTTGGACTGGACTGGACTGGACAGTTGGACTGGACAGTTGGACTGGACTGATTTTTACATTTTCTCTATTTTTGACTTGCACAAAAGGATATTTCATCACAGAATAGATATACCATGTCAAGTCTATTTTGTGATTTTATCAATGAACATTGTCTGATGTGACGGGAGTAGATTGGTTGCAGTCAAGACTATAGCGTTTTGCACCTGAATTACTTTTGATTTTCGGAAGTTGAAATACTTTACCTTCGCCGATGACTTCACTTTATAACTGGAGCGAATTCTCTTAAAGCGAAACAAAGCCTCGTAAGTAGAATACAATAGCAAACAAAAACTACTTATTTACTGAGACTTTGGGAAAGCCGACCGGCTCGGCTTCGCCTCGGGAAACATCGTGACAGTCTCGGGTCCACAAAACACACTGTTTCCCTCGGTCTCAGTAAATAAGTGATAAATATTTCAGTCTGCATAGCCATAGGAAGATCGATAATTAGGGGGGGGGCTCATATTCATGTATTCATGTTCGCAGACCGTAAAAACAATCAATTTCAAAAGAAGTGAATAATGCAAAACACGAATATATGAATATGAGCTCCCCAATGGGCCATTTGCATTATAGACTAAATTTTGATCTAGACAAAAATTTCATCCCAGCTTGAAAGAGCATCACAAAATTAGTAACATTCCAAAGTTTCGTTGCGAAATGTTGTAAAATGCGGATAATATAGCCTTGCGAAATTTGCAATTTTCAGTCATTTTGTATTACAAATGGGAAATTGATGCCCCAACACCCGATTGGGCGGTCAATTTCCCGTGCGCAATACAAAATGACTGAAAAACGGCAAACTTCGCATGGCTATATTATCCGCATTTTACAACATTTCGCAACGAAACTTTGGAATATTACTAATTTTGTGATGCTCTTTCAAGCTGTGCTGAAATTTTTGTCTAGATCAAAATTTAGTCTATAATGCAAATGGTCCATTATCGCTGTTCCTACGCCTGTGTCAGTCTGCGAGCAGTCAACCATATATCATTGTGTCAAAGGTGGTTAGCGCTAACCCTGGGTTAAATTTTGACCTGCTGTTTTGGTTTGTATCTTTCTGCACGTACGTTTATTTCACAACTTCAGAGAAGTAAACTCCTATCGATCCAGACAAGATCTCTGACGTTAACCTAGGGTTAAGCTAACCCAGCTTCATACATTTTAGACATTTTTACACATAGGCGTACCGGGCGGGGGGCGGGGGGGAGCCCCCCAGTTTGTTGGGCAGTCGGGCAATATTTGATCAACAGTCGGGCAATTTTGGTTTGTAACAAAATAAATGGGACAAATTCTGTCAATTTAGTCGGAAATTCAGTCAATTTTGGGGTAAATTTTGTGTTGTTTGGAAAATTTGTGATGTTCCGAAAAATTTTGGTATGTCCGGAAAAATATTTGGACCCCTAAAATGGTACACTGACCGAAATTTTTTTGGCGACGGGGGGGTCGCCGAAATAATTTTTCCGGAAAAAATGTTTTCGGTACTGGTCGGGCACAATCACGAAAAGTCGGGCAAATTTCTTTCCCCCTCCCCCTAATTTTTACCTTCCGGTACGCCCATGTTTTTACATCAAACAGCAGTTTAAATTACAAATCAGTTTGTCGATTGCATTCATAAGCAGAATGTAATATTTATCAATTCAAATATATTATTATATTGTTTGTTTAACTAGAATAAATGTTACCAGAGATTTGTCAGGCGGAAAACGAATTCTTATGATAAATATGAGAGCCCAACATATAACTTTTAACAAAGCCATTAAAACAGTTAAGATTTTAAAGAATATTTATTGTAGAATCTTAACTGTTTTAA